GGGACTCGAACCCACAATCCCCGGCTTAGGAGGCCGATGCCGTATCCATTGGGCCACTGGGGCAGTTAGCTCACGCATTATCGCTAACTAATATCAACGCAATACCGAACAAATAACAATACCGCCATCGCTACGTACATCCGTATAGAAAAAATTATTTTTAGAAGATGGCATAGAATGGTATAGCAAAAGTATTAAATTGCTGACCATCTACAATAAAAGAGAGAACGCAAACGCAAATAAGAGAGATCAAAACTTGTTTACGGGTGTTAGCAGAGAAAGAAACCTAAAATAAAACGTAGAAGAAACCTGACAACATATTATATTATTGTGTATTAAAGTCATAAAATTGTGAATGAACCGTATAAGCGTATAAATGAATGAATGAATGAATGAAATTGAGAAGAGTAATTGAATGCAATTGAGAAAGTGAGAATCATGTACACAAAATTATCCACCACCGGACAAACAAGGCAAGGTTACATCACAACCTTATGTATATTTACATACGCATGTAAAGTAGCAGATATTTCAAAATATACAAGCAAACAGAGAATGAGGGAGAAAATGTATTCTCTGTACGGCTCTCTTCGACTTTCACACTCTTTATCTAAAAGTAACTTATACATGTGTATAGTAATATAGTTTACTTGTATGCGCACTTTTGTTAAAGAGAAAGTATCTAAAATATTAGAACGTTTGCAATGTGCTTTGCCTTGTACGCTGCTTTTCGATGCATCTCTAAATCCATAATAATAAGAAATTTCAATATAGAAATGCTTAAGAGACAATAAAACTTTTTTATCTTAAAGATAAAACTGTACCTTTTTCATTAGATTTTTATGAGATTTTATAGCGTTTGTGTCATTGTTAAATTAAGCGCCCCAGTGGCCCAATGGATACGGCATCGGCCTCCTAAGCCGGGGATTGTGGGTTCGAGTCCCATCTGGGGTAAAGCTTTTAGTCGGAATTTTTTAAATTCACTCAATCACAATTAATCAATGCTTTTTCCCCAAGTAATAATTATTTATATTATCTATCACATCACATCCTTCGTATAATATAGAAAGGAAAATATGTGCCAGTCAATCATATTTCACAACAATGTAGTGTTTTTTTCTTATTCTCACAGTTTTACAATTTTTCACGTAATCTTTCCTTCAAATAAATTTCTCAGATAGCGCGCAATATCATCTCGTATCAAAGTTTCTTTCTACGGTCGAAAACTTTTACTTCTTACACTATATGTGTAGTTTGTCATAAGTGTGTTGTGTAAAGATTGTTTAGTTTTTTGGGCATGTCAACATGCCATGCCGTCTTACATGAGATTCCAGCAAAAATATTAGTTACATACTTAGTAGAAAACATGAAAATACTTTGTAGTAATATGCGTGTGCCTTCAGTTCCAAGACATGTTCAAACTTAATCCCTGAGATTTGAGAAAAAAATATATATAGATACTTGCTAAATTATGATCATTTTTACTTAAGGAGTTTCTTCTAAGAGGCGATCAATCACATTGACAACAACAGACAGATATTGTTGTAAGCTGTGGTAAAGCATTCTTAACCAATGCATCTATGATCATTTATCAGCGTATTCGTTGGAATATGTTCGGTAGCAAAAATATGAGAAAAGGATGCGGTGTTAAGTTGAACGTAACTGCAATCCGCCTAAAAAAATATATATTTTAATTAAAATCATTGTGGAATAATATCTAAAAGTTTCGCTTTGCTTGAAACGTCCAACAACTAGTAAGGTGTATCTTGCAATTGCTGTATATTCGTTTTAAGTTATAGATAGTGAAAATCGAATTCAAAACAAATATAAGTTTCTGCATATTTTAATAAATTTTAAAAAATTTTCAAAATTCTTTACAAAATTCTTTTCTCTCTCCACCATACCACAATATTGATATAAAAGTATCTAAGGTAAGGTAAAAGTTGCTTTTTCTTATTTTTGTTAAAAAAAAAATCTTTTGAAAATTCTGCAATATTCTCAAGAGTAAATAAATAAATCAAAGTAAACAAATAAACAAAATATTTATAATAGAAAACTGCTGTGAGGCAAAAAAAAGCTCATCTCTATGTAACCTTGCCAAACTAAAACTTTTCGAAAGAATTTCTATTTTGAGCGCTCAAATGTGATTTCTTTGAAATGAGCAGTGAATTTTTGGCGTATTTTTGAAAGGCATTACGGCTTCCACTTGAATTTGTAATGATTTTTCGCGGCGAAAAGGTTGCAAGTATTTTCTAAGGTAGAATAAATTCTATTCCGCACTTGGTAAAAAAAGGGAATGCATAGAGAATAAAAAAGCTAAACTAGCTACGATCGATTTGATACATCGATGCTTGGTCACTATAGAGATTATGAACTTAACATTTTAAATCTGACATGGGTCACAACGTAACTATATGCGGGTTTGTGAATATAAGCTTCAGTCTTTAAGTTCCCAAATGTACTCTCCTAAATTTGTACAATTGTATCTATTAGAGAATGTCTTTCCAAATGCATTGCACCAATAAAGCAATCCTCAAAGGGATATCTTGCATCTAAAAGAGTCGATATGAGTCCTACTCTCATTGAGAACTTTTAGACGTCTGATAATCGGTTCATTCATATTGCAATTATTTTTATGGTGGAGAACATTAAAAAAAAGTTTGTCGCTCGAGTAACGATTTATGTCGAGCATGTAAACCGATTTGACAGAAAGTTTTCGTCCAATCGACCCTATTATCTGTTAAGTCTTTTATGAAGATTACATTATCTTGCATCTTTCTGACGATGTCTGGTTTAGTTGGTAAATTGACGGTTGCATATCTCGTAGTGTAGGATGGAAGCGGTAATTTTTTCTTGTAATGATGGTGCCTCCGCGTTATTTTTCAATTCTATTCCATTATTTTACCTTAAAATCGTTCGCGATAGCTGCTAACTCTCTTTGGAATCTTTAACGTTGGGTTGGTTACGGTTCATGTTATTGTTGAACTATGCAGATAATGGGGAAAATACCAGGAATGAAAATAGGCTTCAAACCTTCCTTTCTGGTCACGGTAAGCCATATTAAGCACCTCTACTTATTTAATGCCCCGAATTTGGGGATACCACAGCTACCACGAGTACTCCCCGAAGGCCTAAACGGTCAGCCCTCACACATCGTTCGAACTTGTTTCATTCAAAATGTGATTGTATATACCAGCTTCCCCTGGAGTTTTTTATATGGTAAATGCAAGTTTTCCGCCGAATTCGTTATGTTCACATTTGCATTCGGATTGTCCATACTTCCTGGGAAGACACCCAGTTACTTGGATTTATTATAAAAGGCGAAGTAATCAACCCAATTGAACATTGGGCAGGCACCTTATCACGCTGCACTATCGTTAGCCCGCTCCATACCCATGAGGTTATATCATGGACCTCCTTTCTAGTTGAATACGTGGTGAGGAAGTCTGCACGTAGACGACCCCCCGACACTCGCGAAGACTCCCCAAAAAAAGGAACTCCATCGCCGTAGCCCCTCTGCATTGCAGAAGAAACCGAAAGCAAAAACCTTTTTGACATCGAAGGCAACAGCTAATGCTTCCTAAGCTCGCGTTTTACTGGCCGGCAAAGAATCCCTATGAAAATTGAATTAAATTGAAGTGTACGCACTGACTGAAGCCTCGAAGACCTTTGTTGGCTCAACTATATTTTTCGGCCTTATAAGGAGATTCTCAAATTAGATATTCGACAAGTATTAAAATTGCGATTAAAGAGATTCCTTATATACATATATTAAGTAATAGCACGAATTAAATCCTCTACACAAAAATTTTTTAAATAGATTTTTATTAAATTTTTTTCTGAAATTTATTGTCTTGAAAAAGAAAGGAAAAAATTAATTCATGCATATGCACGAAAGTACACATGTACATAGGGTACAATCATCGTTGTTCTACATATTTGTTTTTGTCACATTAACAAGTAAGCACAGCAAACCTCTAAATAAGAGCTTTATCTGTACCGACCACCCATTACTACATACATACATACATATTATTATGTGCACATGCAAATATTTACATACGAAAAAAATGGTGTAACGGGATTTATTTTGTGGCATATTTGTGTTCACGCTTTATTTCCTTCCTCTGTAAACAATGATTTTATAATTTATTTGCTTTGCATACATATGTATATATATATATATATCTCTGCACAAAATTACTAATGGCCCTATTCTGAGTAACATCGCAAAGACAAGCCAAAAGACGATTACCAGCAAACGTGAAACTAATGTTGTGTTTTTTTGCATCTTTTTCGGGTTCGGGGAGGTCTAGTCACAAACTTCAAACTTTGAAATAAAATTACAATTTGTAAGCATGTCACAAACAATTTTTCTTATTACGACGTCATATTGTTAAGTATACAATAGGATAGATTTAAACAATTAAGCATATTATACTCGGGCAAGGCCGACCAATCGCGACATCCTACACCGCTTCGCCTAATACAGTTATTCACTCGTTTTTATAATCATATACCAAAAATTACAGATTATTTTCAAAGACAAAGACATACTCCTCAAAAAAGCCCGCGTATTAAAATTTACCAAAAACATTATATGACATGATCCAAATTTAGGAAATGGTATGTGGTAAGTGGTGGAAAAAATGAACCAATTCGAACCATTTTCAATAGCATTCGTGCTTGTGTCAAAACACATTACTGCACCAAATTTCTGCCTCTGCCTCAAGTTCTTCTGTATGCTACAACCATCCATACAAACTTAACTTACGCTATATTACAAGTGATGTAGGGTATGAAAAGTCTTTGTTGCCCTTAAGTATTGGGGTAAAAATATTTTTATTTATCAATTTGATTCCTCTGAATCAAGCACACACATACAAACAAACACACACTTTTTCGGAGAAGGTATGTGTGAAACCTGATAAAATTCACTTTCCAATAATTGACGAAGGACGTACATGCAAGAAAATAAGTGTATAATTTTCACTTAAGTAAAAAAATGCATTTATGCGCACTAATATATACAAACATACACAGATTTTTTCAAAATTTAAAAAAAAAAAGCTATTGGAGTAAGTGCTTGCTTTTCACGCTGTAATAATATTATAAAAAATTAATAAAACTAACACACTCTCCGTAGTACCTATGAATACAAGGAATGCTACAATTTAAATGTTGAAGCGGGATTTTTCATAAAAGGCATTTAAGATTCCAATTGCTCTTAAGTGCATTTCTGGCAGCGCTTTTTCTACTCACAATCAACATTTGGGGCTATATAAATTTTGTCATAATGCTTGCAACGCCCAAAAGGAAGCTTCAGAGACCCTATTAACTATACATATTCTTGATCCACATTAAATTGTGTGTGTCTGGGTCTGGGCGTCTGAGTACTGTGTGTTATTGGCATTTTCCTCGTCGCAAAAATGAAGATGTCCACCACAAAATTGGCTAGACATCTTGGAAGTTTTTATACTTAGATTGGTATTGTAAACGGTCCAAATTGGCCAGAGCACACGTCCACAGTGAAGCGTTAACTAAACGCAACTAGATTTTTCTACCCCAAAATAGAACGGAATGTACGAGGGCATCGAGGGCATTATGTGTTTTGATTTTGGGTTTTTTAAGTTTACATTCATTTTTTCTTTAATATTTCTAGAAAAAATTCTGTTTGAAATGCATAGATTTATTGAGACTATTGTTGCGGAAATGCTACTTTCACAACTTCTTACTATTATTAATTTCGCCAGAGAAATAAATTCCACTCAAGTAGATCTTTATAACTTAACAATTCTACCTTAGCAGAAGATTGATAGAAGAGCGAACGTTCCATTATGACAATCGGTTCGGAATATCAACTTTGATACAGTCAGAAAAAATATAATCAGAAAACAAATACACAAATTCCTATAATTAATAAGCCGCCACCGTGCCAGAATAGGGCGAGAAGCTTCTTTTTCCTTTCTTCTCTCTCTTCAAAACTAACGTGCATTGGCATAAGATTCGGAATTTCTTTTAATTATGTTTTATGAGTGCCTAACTCTCTTAGTTTAGATTCACATCACCGAACTCTGCATTCCAATGAATAGTGTTGCGAATGTAAAACGAACAGGAAACAACAATTAAAGGAAATCGAAGGCAAATAACTATCACTTTCTTGTAACTGTAAACTTTTTCAACACAAATGTCATTTTATTTGATCGCAATTAAACAAAATTATCTCAGCACAATTTCACAATTAAACTGACCCGATTAACTTTCTTTATTCGGCTCAAAAATTATTAACTTTTCATATGTGTGTCCTTATTATCTATTTCCAGTATGAGTCGAAAGTCATCTGAAAACTTATATCTTAGCTCAGCGTAAATTATATTTAACAATGCAATTGGCATTGCATTCAATACTATTTGGAGTCTATCGCGCATTAACCGTACTTTATAATGTCTTTGAGGAATTGATCGATATATTGTTGCCTAAAAAAATCATACTTCATAAAGCACTTAGGGCGAAATATCGCCTCGATGAACACCTTCAATTCAAGTTACCGTAGGCATTCAAATTTTTGCTCAATTTCCACTCTCTTATCACCCTTCCTTAGTTTTTAAAATCAATTTTTATGCTTCCCTAATGGAACCAAAAAACTAAACATTACATCAATAATAAGGGGCGAAAATAGCGTGAAGTTTCACTTACGCTCTACAACACAGACTCAGACTTTCAAGGTGATCACTTTAAAGGGTCTTACTTCTCGGTGTTACATACATTATGAGAACAAAAAAAAAAAAACAAAATGGGTATACCTCCATCTTATAGTGATGGGGAGAGGGTTTAGTGAAAATTGGGTATCTAGAGAAAGTAAAAAAGAAAAAAACAAAAATTGGTTTCCACCTTTGGGTAATCTTATCTAGGCAAGACGTCAGGAAACTTACTTGATAAGAATGGAATTATGGGGCATCAGATGATAATATCTTTAGATCTTTTTTTACTTGTACCGCTTGCTCGTTACATAAACTATGACGAGGAGATGCGTAACGTACATGGCGAAATAAATTGTTGCCTAAAAATGTTCTAAATGGTTGCGATGTAAACGCTGTTCCATTAGCGGAAATGATACAATCTGACAATTCGAAAGTAATAAAAATCTTCGCATACGACTAATGACGCCATTTGAAGACTTTACCTTTACGACAAATAAGAATTCACAATTAAGGATTATAATGAATTGTTTTCTTAATCGACTTTTGGTATTAATTTTTGTAGTTTAATACTTTTCGTTTTATTTCATGTTTCATTCCGCCCGTTTCGCGATCATAATACCTATAGTCGCTCTAAATTTGTTTAATTAATTCGCGAACTTTGAACTGTAGAAATTGTACCTTAATTAACTTATATTAAGTAAAGCGATCCACGGAGAACTAAAGAAAATCTATGGGCGAAGCATTATTCATATGAATGGAAATTTCGAAGTGAAAAACAAAAAAAATCCTGATCAATTGAAAAATATTGAAAACCAAGAAATTGCGAACACTATTGAATGAGGAACCATGTCGAACGTTAAACGTTGGCGAACGAGCACGTTTTACATGCTACATGAAAGGTAATACAAACAATTCAAGAGCCATCCAAAGCGCAATTAAGGAAAAAATATACTCCATGACCTTATAGGATAAATTCCATGACCTTGCACTAATATATATGTTTTTCTTACTAACAATAATAATAAAAAAAGAAAGCCGTTGACCCAAAAAAAAAAAAAAAAAAAAAGCAGAGAATAAGGAAAACAGAAAGAATAACTAAAACTTATAAACGGTTTCAGACGAATCTCGACAACCCACCAAAAAAACTTTAATATGCCTGTTAAAGAATTAAACAACCAGGACTGTGAGGATAGATTTAAAGCAATATATCAATCACTGATATGAATTACAAAGCCAAGGTTCATAAAGCAATTATACTACCATCGCTTTTTCACTTAAATTTGAAGCGATATTTATGTCATTGATAGAAGCAAGCAGATGGATAAATAGGCAAATCTAACTCAACTTAAGTATATGGCATGGCATGGAAGTAGAAATTGAACATATTTTTCAGAAAACTATTATCAATTGATTCGTTGCGATAGCTTACCTATTTGCTCGCTAATGCTGTAATTCTACGCCGCCGGTGACCCTGTCTAGGATGAAAGGCAGATTGAAAATAATTTCACTTCTCTAATCACACCAAAAAATTGGAGCTTGGATTCGCTTTTTTTTTTCAAAATTTTACATAGATTATTCTCTTTGCTGCCGGTTTTTTGCATTTTTGTAAGCGATCAACTTTAGTCCCAAAGTCAAAGTCTCATCGCAATCAAAGATGCCACTGATCTGAATTGCTGAAAATGAAAATTGCTTATAATAAATGTATATATGTATATATATATATATATATATATGTACGTATATACATATATACATATATAGGGCTTCTAGCATGTTTACCTAAGCAAGAAATTATTGCAATTAACTCATTGTCCTTCTCTTAGAAATAAAAACTACCGCAATAGTCTAAAATGTGTGTATGCGCAACAAGAAAGCGAACCATGTGCTCTAAAACAAACTGTTGCTTTTGCTGTTAACTATCATATCATCGAAATGTAAATATGTATCTATGTATATGTATATATATATATACGCACGTATGCATATATATAAATGTGCGTATGTGTGTGCTAACCTACGCATCGACTTCTGTACATAACTATTATAGATAATGTTATTACTACCCTTGCTTTATATGAAACAGTGCATAAGGTCGTCTATTGCATAATATGGACACAGACAAATTAACATAGATTTCTCTCTGTCTTTCTCTTTCTCTCTCTCTTTATCTTCTCTTTGACTGTTTTTTTTTTCTTTTTGGTTTTTTTTTTTTTTTTTTTTTTTTTTTTTTGTGTTTATATTACAGGTCCTAGTAACATTTGAAGCTAAATATATATCTCCGGACGATGGTGCTGGTAATTTTGAGCCAACACAACTGGTACGTTCTATACAACAGCAGAGCATAAGCTATAGCAGTCAAAGTTTAGACGATGATCAACAGATGCTACTTGACATCGAACAGAACATAGCCAATTTGGAGCGCACTCTAAATAAAGGTGAAATTTGTGAACAGAAAATAATTAAATATTTAAATGTTGGAAAAAAATATATATATAACATTATTAAAATGAAACATAAAATTTGACCACAATAATGTTGGTTTAACAAAATACAACAAATAACTTTCATTTGTCGGGGACACATTAAAACAATTCAAAGATGCGTAATTTTATCAAATTAGACGTAATAATCATAAAACTACCTTCGAAAGCATACTTGTAATTAAAAGTAAAATAAAAATAAATATAAAATTAATGTGAAAAATTGTGTATAAAATAAAAAGAATAAAAAAAATAAATAATAAATAAAAAATAAAAATAAACTAAATAAATAAAAATAAATATAAATAATAAATGAATGCTTCAACGTTTCACGCCGTTAAAAAGGAAAGACTTCTGTAAAGTAAAAGAGAATTACATTTCAGTAAACCCTTGATATTAATACCTGAAAGTAGCAAATGTAATATATTATTAAGACATCCAAACAAACTTACTAAGTAAGCAGAGCAAGAAATTTTCGTCTTTTTTTTTTTTTATTGTTTGTTTTTTTTATCTGTACAAATCAAAAAAAAGGGCACTTTTACTTATACACGTTTGCTAAACAATTAATTAATATTTAAGGTTGAGATTTTCTAATATATAACATTTCTTTACGAACACGTTTTGTGTGTACGTACGTTTCGAGTTTTGAATTTCAACTAAATATTGTTTCAAGTAAAATTTAAAATAAAAAAAATAAAAATAAAAAACAATTACAAATAAGCATAAGAACCTTGATAAATATTTGAGTACAAAGCAAAATATTCCCTAACACAGTTATCACAGAATATCAATCTAAATCTCTTGATTTTTTCCTTAACTAATTCAAATTAGTAACAATAACTAGAAATTTGATAAAGATAAAAAAATGCGGGAAAGTTCGATTCGGTCAAAATATCTGTTTATGGGGAATTGCTCTTCTTCTTTTTTAAATTTATGGTACTATCGGTATTACATTAAATTGGCTAGTCTTGGGCGTTAAGGGTTGAACTGTATTTCAACTTTAAACAAGTAAGAACATTATAGTCGGAGAGGACCGACCTTTAGATACTCTACACTACTCGGCTCGTTTTGGTAATAGGACATCAAAAATTATTTTTATGCAGTCGTTTGGAGAATTCCCAAAACATCGTAAGAGAGGATCCAAATTTAGTAAACGTAATTCATTTTCTACAAAAGTTTATTATATTTGAGTTGCTGCGGGAAACAATTAGAAATTAGATTTTCTTACCATATAAAGGCTTGCTCTTCATGATAACCCTTATATATGCTGGGGTCTAAGAAATCGGTCGATATAATCCAAATTTTATACTGTTAACTTGCTACTATAGACCAATTTTCATCACAAAATGTTAAAAGTTAAACCTTTTTGTCATAGAAATATTCAGTTCTGGAAGGAATGGCTACATGAAAAGACATTCAAAAAATTACCTAAAGCCTAACCAAATTTTTCATACCAATTTAAAACGTCATACTACTATTATTCAGAGGGTTTCGTTGAAGAATTTTGAAAAATTGCCAATTTTTTTCAATAAGACGACTTGTCAAAATTAAGCGTTATAGGAGGAAGAGCGGTCGAGAAAGTGTTCTTCTCCGAGCCATTTTTAATGGCGTTCGTCCTTGGGACAAAACACGTCATTGTGTCAAATTTCATCAAAATATTTTAGTAATTGCGACCTTCAGATTGAACACAAGCAATCAAGACGGACAGACAGATAGACAAGCTTAGATCACTTGCTGAAACGATTACTACAGTAAAAAAAGATGGACATGTCTCTAATCCTCCTTAGCATGCTCTTGTACCACAAGTGGTGTAGGGTATAAAAATTCGTTGCACAAATGCCTATAAAGGAGACTACTTTTCTACTTTTCTGCCATTTGTGAAAATGCATGTCTTAGAGATGAGTTCAAAATCTGCTCAATTCTATTAAATCGAAACAATTTATATGCAAAAGAACCGACCGTTAAATACCCTAAACTAATACTAAGCTAATTCAATTTTTCACATATTTTCGTCATAAAACACCAAAAATTCTTATTCCCACTCCAAAACCTAGTTTTCTTGGGAACCTTTATAGAATATTTGACCTAAATTAGATACCGACTTAGTTCAAGTTCAGTAAATTTAACATTTTTCTACATATTTCCAATTCAAATGAATCCTTATTGCGAAAAAATGACTAGCAAACCTTCCATGCGGATCCTCATATGAGGTATGCTTTGAAAAATAGATCTAAATAATCCAAACTTGTCAATTTTGTATGTCATGTCGTTAAAGATGAAAAGACCGTTTGTACGATCTAATCCGATACAAATATTTCAGATTTATTCGCTAGGCCCCGATATTAATGCTAACGAAAGTTTGAAAATTCTTTTCATATAACGGCTACTACTTGGATGTAGATTGTTACATGGAGAATTGTTGTTGTAAAAATGATGATCCTCCGATCCATCATTTCTCAAGAACGTTCATCTTTCGTATGAAAATATCGAAAAAATTTTAAATCGCTTGGCATAGTAAACGCTGAAGCTATATTAAGTTCCAGTGGGTGTTGCATACATATCCTCAAGCGTTTAATGTACCGTTAACGCAAACGATGTATGGTATAAAAAATGAAATAATTTCAAGCGTTAATGTGTTTGTAAGCAACTCACGGCCACTTTCCCAATAACAAAGTCTTAATGTAAATAACGTGTCGGAGCATAGTTCTATTTTCGTCTTAAAATTATGGTTTTTTACTATGAAAACATATTCTGACCTAACGGCATTTCCATATATAATGGCAAAATTTTTCGTATTTATTCCGAGAGTGTACGATAAGAAATTAAACAAGACTCGCAAATACACACACAAACGTTTTAATAAAAACATCAAAGGTGTCTTAGCTTCTCGGTAGACTCGGTAGACTGTAAAAGTGAAGTTTTTATTATTGAAATTAATTAATGATATAATGCATGCGACAACAAAATGATGTAAGAAGTCGTCGTCCAATGATCAATATGATGTTATGATCTTATTGTTAATGTTTTACGTGAAAGACATAAGAAATGCTTTTCTTTATCATAATTAATTATTCTTTTCCTTTTAATTCATTTCCATTATCTTGTTAATAATAGAATCAAGTGGTAATTTAGCCTCAGGCAGTGGTGCCGCATCCAGTGGTAGCGAATCTTATGTTTCGCAAAAGAAACGTCATCTACTGAGACGCGTGATGTCGGCAACAAACACAACCACTAGCGGGGCTTGTCAGCGAGATGTTTTAAAATTTGATAAATATGGTAAATCACCGACGGCAATGGGCGGTGAAGGTGGCGACGGTGGTGCAACAAGTGAAACAATCGTTGTCTCATCTAGTGGCAGTCAACAAGCGGCCACCGCAACAAAAGAGAAACGTTTAACCATGCGAACAGTACGTAATATAATGCGTTTAGGTCGTAACCGTCAAAGTTCGCAGACACGCGATAGTAGTACAGAGGATGAAGGCAGGTAATTCATATACATTCATATTTATATTGTCGGTATTAACGGTTGGATGTATTTACACATTTATACACATTTATATTATATACACAATATGCATTTATTGTGTATCACAATTTATATAAATGAATTAAATTTTATTTCATCATCGTAGCACGAGGCTCGATTAGTATATTTATTCGCTTTATAATTTTGAAAACTCTTCGAACTCATCGAATCTATATATATAGCATATAAAGTGCATATGTTCATTGTTGTTGTGCCCGATAGAGTTGATACTCTTCGCTAGAAAATTGAAATTTATTTCATTTATGCTTGATCAATATCGACTAATTAAGTTTGTAAATGAGACTGAATTCGAATTTAAATGAGATTTTTGAATATGTCAAGTAAAACAAGTATTGGGATTTTGTCTAATATTAAATGCAATATGAATGCGATTCATTTGTTGTTGCCATTCAGTTGCTGCCCAAAAATTCATGGACAGTCCTCAGACGGACAGACAAACTTAGATCGATTTAGAAAATTATTGATATAATAAAAAAGTGCGTCTATCTGAACCTCTTCCGGACATTACATACGTCTGTCAAAACTTAATATACCCTGTACCGGAAATGGTGTAGGATATAATAACGATTTTTGCGTCTTCTTCTCCTGCCTTTCAGCAAATCCACAACAGAGAGATGGCTCACTGTGCTGGGCAAAAAGCAACGTTTCGACGAAAACTTTCCATTTAAAAGTGAATTTAAAATCAACTCTTTTTTTTTTTTGTCAGTATTATATTTACATTCTACAACTATGTTTACTTTTCATTGTTTTTTTTTTGCGTCCTCACTTTTCGATTCAATTAATTTTTTTTTTTTTTGCAATAAACTTTTTATATAATTTTCTATTCGTTATTGTCACTTCGTGAATTCTTTACTACTCGCTTTAAATAATAATCAAGTAAAACTTTAAGGAAATTCTTCCATCTAACACATTAGATCCCTTATCGGAGTAAAATAAAGATTTTCACAGTTTAGTAAATTAAGCGGAATCTTTCGGTATTGTGTCCTATTCATTATTTATAATCCGTTTACGTTGTAAAATTAATTTCGCAAGACTTTAAGCAAAATTGTTAAGCAAAAGTAATTACTTACTTCATACTGAGGCCTTTTTAAGCGTTCACATAATGAGATGTTGAAGCGTTTCATCGCCGCCTTTAGGTCATGAATTTTAGTTTTGTTTAACCTATCAATATTATTTGTTGTTAATCTACCGTTACCCCTAAGAAATTTGTAGATATTTACATAAAATCATAGCAATACAAAGCAATTCATTTCTGCTACTTAAGTGTTATACTTAACCCTTTAATTTGCTGTTAAGTATAGAGTTAATAGATAGTTTGCTATTAGCTATTAGTACCACGCGAATAGTTATTTATGTTTCATTATTATGAAAATTTTAGCATAACAATGCTTTTACATAATCAAGTTACATACTAGGGCAAGGCTGGCCCTTACATAATCTATATTAATACTAAGTTCATCGTAAAATGTAAAAAATTAAATTTCAATGTCATATAAAGGATTAAAATGCATGAGAACGTTTATATGGAGAAGGACTCGAAAATATAAATTAACATGGTCCAAATATATACCAAATACCAAACAGTACAGCTGTTTATCTAATTACTATTTTATGTGGGCCTGTGTGTATGTGCATTAATTTTCACCGTAAAACACTTGAAATTAGAATTTGTTGCTATTTGTTGCCAGTTGTGGTACCATGGTGGATTTAAGGTAACCTGAATGTATGCAACATCCCGAAGAGCTAGGAATAGCCCCACCTTTGATTGTTTCGACTAATTCAGAATCACTTTCTGAATCGTTCTAACTTTGCTTGTACGTGCGTGCTCAATCCATAGATATTCTGATGACATTTGATGCACCGACACCGATACTTTTTCGATCACTTACCATACAATGTATGTGGCTGGTGAGCCGTGTCTCGTTACTGGTTTTGTGCGGCGTTCAACAAAACGGTCCAGCGACTTTATTCATTTTCAACAGGGCTCGTCCTTGGATCATATCATGCCAACGTTTTAAATATTCCGACCTGAAGAGTAAACAAGAATTACATGGACAGACGCTAGACAGGAACAGATAGGAATAATTAGTTTCAGAGAGGAATCCGCCTGAGTGACCGAGTAGACAAGAGTCTCGACTATCAACTCAGTGGTCGCGGGTTCAAATCTCAAGTGCGGTAGAGTTTTTAATAAAGCCGAAAGCCTTAGATGCTAGTGCTTTAAGACTTTAATCTTAGAATTTATTCTCTGGCTAAGTTTATAATAATAATAATAATAATAGTTTCAGAGAACGATTATGAGTCAATCACTCACATATACGTCCTCACCTACACTATAAGTGCGAAGAATCCATCCATAAAACAAATAACGCCCAAACCCAAATCCATCCTGTAATGCACTTAACCTTTCAATATAACATGCTATTGATTGCTAATATTTACACTTGCAACGATTCATAATTTTTTTGTTACTGTACATTTACTACATTACTAAATAAATTTAGATAAATGAAAATGATATTTCATGTACATATTAATATCAGATTTTCTACACTAGATTCATAAAACATATATAAAAAGCTTTAACAAAATTCCAGGTCGTTCGAAGCCCTTACGTATGTCGTTTAGCAAATTTAAAATATGATAAGGTTTTCTTTGCCTTTATGTGTCTCTTTACGACATAATCAAATTTGATTTTTGCCCGTACACACACAACCTTTTATGCAAATTAATACAAAATGAAAATTATTTCAATTATGTTTTAAGTAATTCTTTATCAAGTTTCAATAGAAATGTATTGAATTTAAAATGAATAGATAAACAAAGGTGAAAAAAAAATCTTTTCATAGAATGTGCGTAAGAATAAAAAAAAAGACATCAATACGTTTGCAACGTACGAAGGCAATCAATGCAAAGAAAAAAAAAATTTCAAAGAAATTATTTGTTTATTAAACTGTAACTGTAAGGCCCTTAGATTGGATGAGAAGCATATAAAATAACTGTAAAGTGGTTGCGGCAAATTGATATTGAAACGAGAGAAATGTCGAGGTTAGTTTGTGTGTAAACAATATTATGCCAGAAAATGGAAATGTAAGCATGTGAATGAAATAAATGAACTAAGTGTATGTATGCTTGCCCCCTTCACGAGCTTAATATTTTTTAGACTTTCCAAGATATGCAACATGGGGCGAATTTTCTGATTTTTCTTCGTTTTTTTTTTTTTATTTCATACCAGCAGGCTTATAAAACGCACATCCGACAAACCACATTTTATCGCATTTATTGCACATATAATAGACACGTGAAGAAAATGATATGAAAAATACTCCCTGTCTCTCTCTCTCTCTCTCTCTCTCTCTCTCTTAGAATAAAAAACTGCTTAATATGCATGATCATGTGAATACAAATGGCATAACTGATTAATTAATTCTCTAAAAGTTTCACTTAAATCCCAGATGTTTTACATACGCTATTGTTTGCGGCTTTTCAATCACATTCAACATTTCATGCTTCATTACGCACACTGGTTGGTGGTTTTTTTTTTTTTTTTTTTTTGCTGACCCATTCAACAAACATCATGCTATAAGCAAAGTTTTATGGGGTTGTGTCGAATCTCTTTTTCACGAATATAAACCTCGACAGCAATGAATCTTATCTATGTACATTATAGCCGATCAATTGATGGCATAAGAATGTCTTCCTTAATGCCGTCTACCGCTTTGCGTAAGAAATAACCAGACAACTTTGAATCGATGTGTAGTGCGGAGCTATCTGCGTATCTCTGTAAATAACAATTTCAAAGGTCTTCCTTTATCCACTGTCTAAAGGGCTTTATTATGTGGTCTTGACCCGCCTGCACGTCCATTTGTCCCTTCATCAATTTGTCATTTTAGATCATTTACTTGTTTATTAACCTATCTCTTTATATCTCTATATCTTTCTGCTTAATTGTCGATTATTCTAATCGCTCTTTTTGTTTATTCCTCGAGTTGTTTGTTTATTGTTTGTTTTTCAATTCGTTTAGATTGAAAAAAAGTTTAGATGAAAAAAAGAAAAAATGTGACTCATGCATTTCTAAATTGACTTTTTTTATGGTTGGTTTTTAACTAGAATCTGTCTTATGCAAGAAAGCGAATAAAATAACAATATCTATCCAGTTATACTCTACACAACTTGTAGTAAGGGCATATTAAGTTTATGCGAATGGATGCAACACTCACAAGGATTTTTGATAGGCATTCTATTATAATAAACGATTCAGAATCATTTTCCGAATCAATTTAAGCCCGTCTGTCCGCCCGTCTTTCTAATACCTCTTCAAGCCATTTAGTGTTTGGCAAATTTTTGAGATATTTTGCTTAAATTTCGTATGTTTGCATTCTTAGAACCACGAGCTAGTGCTACTATTGGCATTGAATAGGTTCCGGTCCCTTTCTGGATAAAATCATATTTCGAAAAATTTGTTATACGAAAAGGACTCGCTATTTCGATTCATCTCAGGAACAATTTAGCGAAAAACAATATTTTAGCATATTAAATGTATGGGCAAAATTTTAATATACATATATGAATAAACATCGGATCCTTCACAAACAATAAATCCGTACCTTAAAGATGGGTAATTTTTTGTATTTGATTTCCATAGCACGGCGGGGGCGAAAACAAGATCCAACCATTATTAAACCACGGCATTCTGCATCAATTTTCCTTCGCTTTCAATCGCTCATGTTATCGCCTAATGAACAAGAAAAAACACTTAAGCACATTTGATAGTTGCCGCGGTTGTCCATGCGCGACTTACATGGTAACAAACTTACAATTTCATGACGAAAATAAGTAGAAAATATTAGACAAAGCGGTGAAGGGTATTTTTCTACGTAGCCTTGCCTGACTATAACATTTCAACTTACTTTGCCAACTCCACTTCACAAAAACAAAATTGTATGAAACCACCTAAACATTTCCCAGTATCGACAGTATTGTCGATATATTACAGTAATTAGAAAAAAATTAAATATGTAAAAATATTTTAAGTAGATGAGGAGAATTCAGAAGTAGCCTCAAAACTATCTTACCAATTTATTGTTATATAACAACACTTGACATATACGACAGCGTTACTTTTTCGGCATCGGATGTCCGTCCACTAATACTGATTAACTAAAAAACGCTTATAGTTACTACAACTCTTTGCTGCATTTACATATCCGTATGGAATGGCGAGCGTTCAATATTCGTTTCAAGCCTAATTCAAATTTTCTACTTGTTTTTAATTAAAATAATTGAAAAGAAAATAAATTGAATTAATTTTGTATCATATGTATGTTTAACGTTCGTTAAAAATTGATTTAATCAAGATAAACAAGTAAGAACAGTGTAGTCGGCTGAGACCGACCATTCAATTATTCGTTTGAAATTCTACTCGAATACTCGATATTCTATACTATATTTCCTCAGAATTTATTTATTTTTATATTTATAAAAAATCGACCTATGTAATCCAAATTTCATGCTCTTAATTTTTTTGGTTTTATAAAGAAATCGTATATGAACGATGGTCCGAAAAGTAGACGCATGTGTTTGAAAATTCGCCAGCTCAATTTTTATGCCAAATTCATAAACAAATTTTGATCACAAAACATTAACGGACAGGTCTTTTTGGCATATAAGAGTTTGCATTTTCTGAGAATACTTATAGGCGGTAGTATCCAAAAAATAGACCTACGTGGTCCAGATTCAGTAAGACTGATTTCATTTTTTTCTCTTATCAACCAATTTTCACTATGAAATATTGAAAATCAGACCTTTTTACCCTAACAAGATTCAGTTTTCGTAGGAATGGTTATATGAGACGGAACACGAAAAATTACGCAAGCTTAACCAAATTTGTCGAACTCTATGCAAATTTAGTAATTTTTTATTAATTTTTTTTTTTTTTTTGCTTTTTTTCATATAAAGATTTTTTCGTCGAAAAATTTCTCAAATTTCATCCGCTTTCAATAAGATTCGTCCTTTAGTTAAAACATTTCAATGCACAAATTTCATTAAGGTATGTTTCTTGCACACAAAAAACGCGAAGGCATCTATCACAAAGCTAGACGGACAAACCTACTCAAATCGATTTGGAAAATGATTCTGAATCGAAATATATAACAAAAGGCGGAGCCTTTGGCCTTTGGAGGCGGCCTTTGAGCATTGCATAGGTCCAGGAAACCTTGGTATTACGTTATGATATCATAGGCGATATCGAGTATAATCAAACTAACCCTTTATGCTGAAAACTACGCAATTTACATATCATTAGCATATATACGATAGCTGCTGCCGAATATTAAGACGGACGGACTATACTTTCAGATATATTCGATGAAATTGTAAAACAAAGTAAAACAAGTACGGAAACTATATTGGGCGGGGGCCGAATCTCGCATACCCACCACTATGCTTTTTGCATTATACTCCTAAAGTTCTTTTATTTCAAACGATATATGGGTATTATTAAGACGGAAGTAATCGTGATGCCTGCTATATTTATTTTAGAATTAACGCATTTTTAGGCACCTAATGCACACAGACGGGCAGACATGGCTAAATCAACTGAGAATTTCACACTGATCAAGAATATATATATACTTTGTAGTGTCTCTGAAGCTTCCCTTTCGATGTTACATACACTATGAGTAAAAACAAGATGGGTTTACCGCCATCTTGCGGTGGTGGGTACTAAACGCAAGAATTTCTAAATAATTAAAATCCTCAATCAATAGCTCAATGAAAATTACTTTGCGTTCACACACACCCCCCCCCCCCCCCTCTCCTGCTCCCCATCCACGTCCGTCACCTAGCACTGTGTATAATAGAGAAACAAGAATCTGAAGGGACACATTCACTCAAAGCAATAAAATTCACTTGCACATACAAATCTCATTACATTATCTAAATCCATTAATTGTTATTATTAGTGTTTGAAAAAAAAAAAAATGAAAAAAAACTTGAAGAACAAATTCATTAAAGTAATTATGTGTTTAGATCTCCTCTAATCCATGAAAATGAAGCGGCAATAAATTTATCAAGTACTGCAGCCATTACTGATGCCACGCAAATTGCGCATTTATCAAATAACGTGAGTGGCGCTGGCGAACGTGTTGATGCAACACCTGGTGCCGAGAGTTGTTTCTCACACTCGAATCAATCCAGCGATATGGAGGATATAAGTCATATTGATAAGGGGAAAATGTAATTAACACGTAACACTAATACAGTCAATAATTCATTTAATTATGAATGCGTTTTATTTCGATAACAGGATTAAACAGATTACTCATACAGCTGATCACTTAAAGTCACAAGATTTTCAGGTTTGTATAACTATTATAGAGGCGAGACAACTGCCCGGTCTTAATATGGATCCGGTAGTTTGTATACAAGTTGGCGATCAAAAAAAATATACCAGTGTTAAGGAGAGCACCAACTGTCCCTATTACAATGAGGTTTGAATACATTTTCTTTTCTCCTTCGTCTTTCAAATAAGAAAATAACATTTTATTTTTACTTTTCTCTAATACATAACTTTATAGTATTTCGTTTTTGATTTTCATATGCCGCCAGTGATGCTTTTCGATAAAATCATAACTCTATCGGTAAGTTATACGTATTAAATTAACATACAACGAATGTTCGATATCGTGTGTTCGTGGACAAGGAAATGATTATTATAAGTAACCTTAGGCCAAATGAATGCAAGGCTAAGTATATGCTAAATGCATTCCTACATTGTCATTGATATATTTTCCCCGAAATATAAATCAATAGATTTTTTCGTGCCGCTTCGTAACAATTGAAAAATTTATGCGTATGTTTTTTTTTCAAACCCTGAGGCCCAATAAAAATTTTTGGTTTTTAAAGTCACTATTGCGAAAGAGAAATGGTAGCTGGGTAAATATATATATGTATGGTGCCCCGAAGATACCTTAGGCAAGATTTGAATTGAAAAACTAATCATGCACAAGGTTGCATTTCCAACAAACATCTTTATCCAGTCGATTTTTACTAAGTTTTTTTAATTAACAATTGCTTTCTATCAAGTTGTATCTCGAGATATTTCTTCATAATACACAGCTCTATGCTATTTTTATGCGATTTTTGCCTTGAACAGGCAATGTAATGCTTAAGAAGAGCTTAAGAAGAGCATCGATAGCATTTTAATCCTGCATTTCAAAGATACGCGTTAAATATCTCATAGGTCGACGCAAGATTTCTTTCTCGATTTCTTTTGTCCGTCCGCCAATACTTTCGGCTGTCTATCTTATGATTGCAAAAAATTCGCTAATGCACTGAAACTGGACAAGTAAGAGAATTATGTTCGTTCGTGATCGAGTCTTTTATATCCATTACGGTCATCCTAAAACCGATTAAAAAAATGCAAAACAACTACATTTTCATAATCTATAATATTGACTAGGCCCGATTGATTTTTTCTATTTTCGGAATAAAAGGGGGAAGTTTATATGGTGCATGTGCTGTACTTTATGAGTAAATAGCAAAAAAACAAAAAAAACGAAAGTATATAAAGTTTCTTTTAGATAGGCGTATGGACATTGTAGGCGTGGGTGTTGATCGATTTGGGTCATTTTCAAATTCTTTTGCAAATTTTTATACGATATCGTCGTTCTTGCGTATGAGAGAACGTTTACCACACGTTCTACGCAGTTGGGTAGACGTGCAGATGGACGGACAAATAAATGGGCATGCTTAGGTGCAGTCCGAACTCGAAATTGGCGAAAAATTCATATACTTTGCTAGTGCACACTATAAAGGTATTGAAAAAAAATTAAGCCTTGACATACTATGGTATTAGGTAGGCGTGATCAATTTTTACTATTTTTGTACAGGTGCTACGGCATCGCTCATAGAATACACGTTCCAAAATTTCTACATTTCTCTGCCTGTAGTTTATAAATAAGTATGTAGTTAATAAAAATCGACCACGCCTACCTAATGCCGTAGTATATCAGAGTTAAATTTTTTTCTACACCTTGGTAACGTGCAGAAGCAAAGTACAGTAAAAGCTCCTTATTCGCCGGGTATACGTTCCATAAAAATGCCGCGAATACAGAAACCGTCAATACGGAATTCTTATTTATATAGGACTATAGGGGATACGTTCCCACAACAAATAACAAAAATCAATTATAAAAGTTAAAAAAAATCAATTTAATTGAAGTTTTTGAACATTTTGATTAATTATCTTAAGGCGTAAACAATGGTTTGAAGAATTTTGTAAGTTTCTCTTGCTTGGCAGTTTTTAAAAGCTCCTTCAATTCAGGCTGCTACGCAGCAATCGCATTAGCGATTTGCCTCTTAAAAATAAGACTTCGTTCCATAGACGGTACAATATTCATAAAGAAATCGCGAAGCTCATTTGCCAGTCTTGAACCTTCACTAACACTTTTGAAATTAAATGTCACGTTTCCAGTGCTTGTTGAAACCTCTTCTTCAATGGGCTGTGAATTTATCACTTCCTTCAAGTCAGTTTCAGTCAAATTTTCATCTTGCGATTCAAGCAATTCTTCAATGTCATTCGATTCTATCTGTTCGAACCCATCTCGTCCTATTCCATTCGCGATTTCGGCTATGTTTGCAGTAAAAGTTTGAACTTGCACAGATTCTGCGTTATTTTCCGCGGTTAAAGCAGGCCACAGTTTTTTCCAGCATGACTTCAATGTGTGTGGCTTCAGTTCTTCCAATGATTCTTTTATGTTTACGATGCATTTTGCTAGGTCAAAAGTCCTGCGTTCTATAACATTCATATCAGGATTACATTCCATACTTTCTAATATGATTTTGAAGGTTCGTCCGTCTAACGTAATAGAGCTTAAAGGCCTGAATTATTCCTTGGTCCGTAAGTTGAAGCAAAGTCATCGTGTTGGGAGGTAAAAATGTCACTTCTATGTTTGGATGCATAGTTTCAAGTTCGCGAGAATGACCTGGCGCATTGTCCCAAACTAGAAGTGCTTTAAAGTCTAAATTCTGTTTTTTTAAATAAGTTTCAACTTCAGGAACAAAACAATTCCGGAATCAATCACAAAAAATCCACGAATAAAGAAATTTACAGCCGCGAATATGAGAATTGGGTCGCATTTTTTTCAATCCGCGAATAGTGAAACCGCAAATAAAGGAATCGCGAATAAGGAGCCTTTACTGTATATAAATTTTTCGCCAGCTTCGAATTCGGAGTGCACCTAAGCATGTCCATTTGTTCGTCTGTCGATGATATCGCTTACAAATGAGCAAAAAGAATTTGAAAATGAACAAGGGACAGCTAAAGGAACACGTTTGTCACACGCACATATCTATACGACCAAAAATGAAAACATCTTTGGTTTTCGTGTCTTTTGCTCGTTGCTCGTAAATGATCTCAAAATTTCCATGAAATTATTCTGCAAAGATAAAAACAATTTTCCAAGCCCAATCAATATCAATATAATGGAATATGCAGACTTATGTATTTCATTTGTTTCAATCCTTCTCCAATATAATTTTCTTACTTGCTTTCTTTCTTCTTTTGTTTGACGAAACGATACACAAGGGGATGCGATGACATTCTATTTCTAGCTACAATTTCACATCACTTTTCAATAGTCGCAGTAATAATAATAAACTTGGCGCGAGCATCTTGAGTTCGCGCAGTTTCCACGCTTACTTTTAAAATGATTATAAATTTCTTATTTATTATCCATAACGCATTTCTGGCCATTTGAAGAATAACTGCTCCTCTAACGTATTATAATTAAGTATCAATTATCAATCATTTGAGTTTAAAAATTTTACAATCTTTTAAATTTCATTTATTTATTATTATTATTTAAATTAGTTTCATATGTTTCCAACTCTCGACTAATTGAGAAGGAAACTAAAAATATCTTCATGCGCTTTAGAGTTAATTGAACACTCAGTTAATACAGGTTTCCTAACCTTAAGCTTATTTAATTAGTTTGTGGAAATTCTTGCATTATATTTTTCCGCATACTTGAAAATTGAAAATAATTGTTGCTTTATAATGGAACTAAACAGCAGGCAAAAACAAACAAAAAAAAAAAAACCACAAACATGTGAAAAAAAAAGTCGGCTAAAACAAATGCGAAAATTATCAAAGTCGGATAAGGCCGACTATTAGATACCCTAAACTACCTTGTCTAGTACAGTTATTTACTCATTTTGATTAATTTCTTTATCACTTTACTATCACGAACCAATTTTCATCCTGAAATATCGAAAATTAGACTTTTTTATAATACAATGGTTCGCCGTTCGTAGAAACGGTTCTATAAAAGGGGATTCAAAAAATTACCCCAATCAATAGGTTTTGTTGAAGAATTTCAAAAATTTGCAATTTTTTTTTCATAAGATGACATTTTAAAGTTAAGCGTTATGTGTGGAGTGGTCGAAACAGTGAACCGGTCTGAACCATTTTCAGTGACGTTCAACCTTTGGTCAAAGCACGCCGGTTTACCAAGTCCAGGCGGGCTGACGAGCTTAGATCGATTCAGGAAATGAGCCTCAACCGATCGGTACAACAAAAGTTTCGTCTACCTTTAGCGCTTGTGGGTGTTACATTCGTCCGTACAAACTTAACAAAATTTGTACCACAAATCGTGCAGTGTATGGACATAGCAATGGGCTCGGACTACACATTAAATACCTTACACTCACCTACAATTATGCACATAACGACTTTTCAAAATAAGAAGTTATATTGAGGGTGGCCGAAACAGAAGTTCGATCCGAATCATTGAATGCTATTAATTCGTTCTTTGGCCGAAGCACGTCACTGTACCAAATTTCAAAAGTTACCGCTCGTATATTGATTTAAGTATACAGCAGGGACAGACGGACAAACAAGCCTCGCATATAATAAAGGGGCCTGTCTTAAATCCTTGTGGGTGTTACATACATTCGTAAAAATTTAATATATCCTTAAACTAGAAGTGGTATCGCATGTAAATAACTACATACTAGTTGAAGAATCAACTAAATATAATTATGTGGTTGTTTGTACTTTACACCGAAGATAAATATTTAATATGAATTAATAAAACATTCAGTAAAACCACATAAGTAATGAAAGAAAGCTTAAATGCAATAAATGAAAATATAAGGAAAAAATCAAAATCCACGATGCAAAGAGCATATCTATCTACCTGGATATATATATATATATATATCCAGGTTACTATATATATATATATATATATATATATATAGTAACTCTTTCTTTTAATTCATGCGGTATTAGAGCACATAAAAAGATGTATTGTAAGCGTACGCATCCAATATCATCATGCATTTGCTGATAGAATTACGATCATTATGTTACATATATATTAAGCTTCTATTTGCACGCAGGTATAACGGTGTAAATGGTTTAAGATTGTCTTTTGGTTAATGTTTACATTCGGGCAACTGTTGCAGGCGATAAAGTGTTCCCGTCTTTCGCAAATTCATTATGGGATTTTGTCGACTTTATTCAAGCCCAGACTCTATATCCAATTAAGAACAAATAAAACAAAAATATTTTCTACTTCTATTTCTCTCTACCCCCCTCTCTTTCTCCTAAATGTAGGTTTTGCAATCGAGGAAATTTTTACGTTCCGGCACCTTAGTGGGTTCATTTAAAATTGATTTATCTACTGTTTACGATGCTCCTGGTACATACTTTTGCATACATACTATACATTAAATATATATAAAATGTTACTTCGATGTTCTTGGAAAACATTTACTAAACATTAACTTCGACTATCCTTTCCCATCTTTACGATGTGCAGTTACGTTTAAGTGTTTTTGTGTGTACTTTGAGCTTCTAACACGAACGCAATTTAATATCAATGAATGTTTCCTTTGTAATGATATCCTATTATTCTATATTTTTATACATACATATACAAATACATATATATATGGTCTGTGTCCTTTTTTTCTTTTCCGTTTTCCAACTGTTTTTTTTTTTTCTTATATTCCTTTTATTGGTTATTAAAAAAAAAAAAAATCACTTGACGCTATAAACACACAAAACATAAACTTAATGACTCTGTTGCATGACTCTCTTTAAACTGTGTCATAAAACCTGTTATTCAACTCAACTGCATGTTAAAGGTGTTACAAAGTCGTGGTGTTTTAATGCCCAATAAAATGATTGGCTCATTTAAATTGGATGTGGCCACTGCTTGGAGTCAACAAGGTAACACATTATCCGTCCCAAAGGAAGCTATTTTCAACAGTTAAATAAAAAACATAAAGAAAAAAAATATTATGAATTATATTTTTCTTCTTAAGTAAAAAACTTTATTAAGCATGTGTCGCTCGTTTTGCATTCATCTTTTGTTTCATGTGCACCTTTTCAAATAACAAACGCAATCTTTTCATTAATCTTGAAAACAGATCATCAATTTTATCATAAATGGGCTTTACTTACCGACCCAGAAGATTTCTATAGCGGCCCTAAAGGCTACCTTAAATGCGATATTGGCATAATTGGGAAAGGTGATACGGTAAAAGTGCCACAAAAATCTGAAAAGGATCCGGATGATATTGAGGCGTAAGTGTGCTAAGTAAGTTTATGTCGTACACTGCTAAATGCCACAATAACCCGATAGAAATCTACTTCTGCCTGTTGGGGTACCCATTGAACGGCAACGAGCTAAATTTATAGTGAAAATTTATCGAGCTGACGGGTTGCCGCGCATGAATTCCTCAATAATGGCTAATGTGAAGAAAGCTTTGACTGGTGAAGCTAAAGATTTAGTTAGTCCATATGTGCAGGTATCGTTCGCGGGTCTGCTGGGTAAAACCACAATCAAAAGAAACGCTTACGCTCCTATTTGGAATCAACAATTGGTGTTTACTGAAATGTTTCCACCCCTTTGCCAAAGGATCAAAGTAAATCATTTTTCTTCTTACAATTTATAAAAATAAAAGTTTTTTTTCTCTCGCACTCTCCGTTAAGATTCAACTCAGAGATGCGGATCCTATGAAACCATCCATTATTGGCACTCATTATATCGATTTGAAACAAATATCTAATGACGGTGAAAAAGGTTTTCTACCCACTTTTGGCCCTTCGTTTGTTCACCTTTATGGGTCAATACGTGACTACTCTTTACTGGATCAACATTCAACTTTAAATACCGGCTTGGGAGAAGGAGTTAGCTATCGCGCGCGATTATTGTTGGCTATACGAACTGAAATTACCGATAACATCGAAACTACCACCGAAAAGAATGTCGAACTTGAACAAACGCAGCCCATTAGCGAATCTTCCTATTCGCGAAACGAGGAATTCTTCTTGTTTGGTTCCATTGTGGAGGCGTCAATGATTGATAGGAAAATTTGTGATAAAACTATTTTCTTTGAGCTAAGCATGGGTAATGCCGGAAATTCTATTGATGGTCATAATGAAAGTTTCTCCACTGCTCTTGAAGACGGTGAGGATGGCTGTTTACTAGAAACTGTTGACACGACTTCATTTAGTAGTACTACAAGTGCTTGCAAGCCCATTACACATGATAAAGCCCATTATTACTTACCCTATTGGGACTATAAACCGTGCATGGATGTACGTTGTACACTGCCAGATCTGCGAAGACGCATGTATAACAGTAATATGTTATCAAAAATAGCAGAAAAATTTGTAACTATTTAAAGATAATAAATAACAAAAACAATCTATGAAAATTTTGCGCAAAATATTCTAGGAAGACGGGTTAGTAGGAACGAAAAAGCTAATCGAAGAAGAGGACATAAAAGCTGAAGTACGTTTACGGTCCACTTTAGAAGATTTGGCGGCCGCTTGTCTACGTTATCAAAATATAACAAAAGCTAATTCTTTAGGTGCGGGCAGTGGTAAAACCAAATTAGATAAAGAGCGTCTAAAATTATGCTTAAGAGAAATCGTAAGCCATCTTGCTAACAAAATTGATTTCGAATTTTACATTTCTCATTTTTCATTTGCTGATAATGCTTTAGGAAAATCTAGGAAACTTGGCTCGTAACCTAAGAGCTTTGGTTACAAGAAGCTCTTTAAAAGAACGCTTTAAGCAAGCTCAGTCTTATATGCAAAAACTAAAATTCCTAATAGATGATGTAAGTTCTTTCCACTCGCCTACTATCTATCTCTTATCATTTCGTCTTAGTATTTTTCGTTATCTTTTTTGATCTCTAGTTTTCTCTATTATCTCCCTTCATTCCTGCCTACATTGTTCCTAACTTTCTTTATATTTCTGTGCATTACACTCTCCTCTACTTTTTCTCTCTTATCTTCAGCCCTTATCTTCCCTGTGGCCTATTCTCTTTTTCCTATCTAACCTAATGTATTATTCTTCATTGTTATCTCCTCGTCTCTGCATATGATAATCTCTTCTGCTTTCCTTTTCTTTTTTTCAACTTTCTCTCTCGTTTCGCGTTTAAAACTTTTTTCTTTTCTCTTCGTACCCCTCTTTCTCTTAGTCCTTCCCGCATATGGTGTTGAGCTTTTTTTCTAATCTGATCGCCTTGAAATATTTTAGCCTCAACATTCTTTACCTGACGTATTTCTATGGCTGATAGCTAATGGTAAAAGATACGCCTATCATCGGATACTTGCTAGAGATTTAATATACTCTCCTACTGAAGAAGAGTCTGGCGCACATTGTGGTAAAATTCAAGATATATTCTTAAAATTACCAGGCAGGCATTCAACAGGACCAGCCAGTTGGTCTATACAAGCAAAAGCTTCTATTTACTTTTGGATGGGAGTAGTAGATCATAAAGGACATTTCTTCGAAGGCTTACCTATCGGTTACGATTTATCGCATGAACTTCGAAATGCCGAAAGACCCGGAGCCATGGCTCCCAACAACATACACTATCTAGAGAAATCGGTAATAAAGCATACCGATCAATTACTGTTCCTCTCTATAAGCTTGTTCTTCGTCTTTTTAGACATTTCAATTGCGCGCTCATGTCTATCAGGCACGTTCTTTAATAGGTTCGGATGCTTCTGGCTTGAGCGATCCATACGCCACCGTTTATATAACTGAATTTGCTAAAACCACTCAAGTCATTGAAGAAACATTGAGTCCCACTTGGGACGAATTATTGGTATTTGATGAAATTTTGGTTTATGGTACCAAAGACGAAATTAAAAAAAATCCACCAACAATTATTATAGAAATATATGATCAGGATAAAGTGGGAAAATCCGAGTTTATAGGACGAGCTATAGCTAAACCACGCGTTAAGCTGAGAGAAAATCCTTACACTACTCCCGCCCTTGAGTGGTTTGACATCATACGTGGTTCGGAGAATGCGGGGGAGCTTTTAGCTGCATTCGAAATGTTAGAAATTGGTGCAACTGATGTTCCTCGTCTAACGGAACCCAAAGACGTAGAAGTCGAATTGAAAAAATTGGTACCTCATGCTCCTGCCCTAAATATTATATACCCTGTACCTAAAGAAGTACGCCCTCACTTGGCCAAATTCAAATTAGAAGTTTTATTTTGGGGCCTACGCGATCTAAAGCGTATACATTTTATGTCAGTTGACAAGCCACGTATAGATGTAGAGTGCTCGGGTAAAATCTTAAGTTCAACGATTATACAAAATGCCAAAAAGAATCCCAATTTTCCGAATATGCTCAAGTTCATCGAATTGGAACTACCCGTAGAAGAAACATACGCTCCACCAATTACTATACGCTGCGTTGATTGTAGGTCCTTTGGCCGTTACACTTTAGTGGGCACTCATCAGATTTCTTCGATACATCGCTATCTATATAAGCCGCCACCAAAAGAAGATATCACCAAGTATAAAACTATAGGAGGCCAAATTATACTTTCCAGCCATTTAAACGAAGAGAACTTGAATAATTTAATCGATGGTTACGGCATGCAACCGCTAATGGGGACGCAACTGCAACAAGCGCAAATGAAAGATTTCTATGGCAATCGTCGGTCATCGTGCGATCAATTTACTCTTTATGGAGCCGTATGTGTTACGAAAATGTAAATTTTTCAAAAATTCAAATTTTGGCTTTGAAATTAATTACTTCAATAAATTTAGGGTCAAGAAACAATCCTCTAAAAAAAAATCTTCTTTAAGGGCCCAACACAAGGATGGCATCGCTATACAAGAACACGAATCTGATGATGAATTAAGCCGCGATTGGTGGACTAAATACTTTTGGTCCTATGAACGCTTGATAGACAATACCAAAGCCGAGAAAGCTTTAAGACCCTCCGATAAATTTTTAACCTCACCCTCGCCGATAATCATACATAATCACAAATCGGTTAACAAAGGTACAAAATTAATGCAAAAATTAAGTCCTCTAGGACGCAATAAAACCGAGACCAACTCTTGCCCGAACACACCAAAAAGACAAATCAAATCTTTCAATAGTAGCACAGCTTTATGTCAGGTATGTTAAAAAAACTGATTCGAATAAATTTGATTGATTTTCAGAAATCATATTCTCTTTCAAGTAAAGATCTATCCCAGCGAACTCGAAGCCCAGTTAGAGTTTAATTTCTTTCGCGAATGGTTGCATTCTTTTGCATTATATCGCGGTAAAAAAACCGATGACTCTACTGAAGACGATAATCGCATTGTGGGATTCTTTAAAGGCGCTATCAAAGTATACCGCTTGCCACCGCCCAAAGGTCAAGAGTATCCTATACCGAATGTCCCGGCCAATGAACCGATACATGTTTTAGTTCGCATTTATATTATTAAGGCCACCGATTTACATCCAATGGATCTGAATGGTAAAGCCGATCCATACGTTGTGTTGCATTTAGGCGGTAAACGTATATCGGATAAAGATAATTATGTTAGCAAACAATTAAATCCGGTATTTGGGAAATGTTTTGAAGTTGAAGTTACCTTTCCCCAAGACTCCATGCTAACAGTGCAAATTTACGATTGGGATCTAGTAGGATCGGATGATTTAATAGGAGAGACACGCATCGATTTAGAAAACCGTTTCTACAGCAAACATCGTGCCACGTGCGGTTTATCGCTACGTTATGAAGAGTAAGTGAAGTAAAGCTTTAATAAATAATGAAAGAAAAGAGCGAAATATATTCCGGAAATATATTCTAGTTGTGGTTACAATCAATGGCGTGATCCCATGAAACCTACACAAATTTTGTCGAAGCTTTGCAAAATCAATAAATTAGATATGCCGCATTATTTTCAAGATCGGGTAGCCATAGGCAAATATTGTTTAACATTTTCGGATGAAGAAGTTATCGCTTGGAACGGTCCCAACACTTGCCGCAATCGTGACGAACATTTGGCTCTAGCGGTTTTACATAGATGGAGTGAAATTCCCAATATCGGTTGCAAGGCAAGTAATAACTTGGTAAAAATTGATGTTAATGTAAAAAAAAAAGTGCAATTTGAATTTAGCTGGTACCGGAACACATAGAGTCAAGGCCACTTTTCAATCCTGATAAGCCTGGAATAGAGCAAGGTAAAATTGAGATGTGGGTAGATATGTTCCCAATGGATATGCCTCCACCTGGGCCGCCTGTTGATATCTCACCACGGAAACCTAAAGCTTATGAGCTGAGAATCATTATCTGGAATACAGATGATGTGGTACTGGAAGATGATGCTTTCTTTACGGGAGAAAAAATGTCTGATATATACGTGAAGGGGTAAATTTTCACAATATCGTAAATTAACAGAAAATCCATAAATATCATCTTCACATTTAGATGGTTGAAAGGCCCACAAGATATGCAAGCCACCGATATACACTACCGTTCTTTAACGGGTGAGGGTAATTTTAATTGGCGTTTCATTTATCCATTTGAATATTTAGCAGCCGAGGAACGCATAGTCTTGTCAAGGAAGGAATCATTATTTAGTTGGGATGAAACTGAAGTTAAGATACCCGCACGCTTAGAACTACAGGTGTGGGATGCCGATCATTTCTCAGCAGATGATTTTTTAGGTGCGAATAAGTTTCAAAGATTGTACACAAAATTAACTTATGTGCCTTATATTCATTCTTATCCTCCTTTTCGTTTAGGTGCAATATCGTTTGATTTAAATCGTTTTCCTCGTGGTGCCAAATCCTCTAAACTATGCACTTTAGATATGCTGAATACGGATAACGTGCCCACGATAAACATATTTAAACAAAAACGTGTACGTGGCTGGTGGCCTTTTTATATTAAAAAGCAAAATGAAGAAATGGAATTGACCGGCAAAGTTGAGGCAGAATTTCATCTACTTAGCAAAGAAGAAGCCGAACAAAATCCAGCAGGTTTTGGGCGCAATGAGCCGGATCCTTTGGAAAAACCAAAGTATGCATGAATTTATTTATTTTTACATAAGTTGCACCATTAACTCGCTATGAATCCGAATACATATCCGTCCGCCTATATAACCGGCAACTATTAAAATGTTTTTGAATGAATTGCTCTTGCAAAAAAACTTTCAAGACTTTCTCGCAATTTAAGAAACGTAAAGTTTCGAAAGTTGCTGGCTTTTGAAAACAGTCAAGCTTGCCTCAAAATATGCCATTGAAAAGAATTTCATTATACGCACGCACAAAGCCTTGAGGAGGGAATATCTTAATGATGTATATAATGACTTAAACAGTTGTACCCAAATTTCGAAAGTCAAAGCGATCATCATGTTTTAATGGTGTTGGATTTTAAGTAGTTGGTCTATAACGGCTGTAGGAGCTTTATGTATACGTTACTTTTATACGCATCACCGAAGAATGCACAATGGCGCGTTCATTGTGCCAAAACGTATGTTTGCAAAGCGCACAAGGAAGCTGCAGAGACACCACAAAGTATATACATTCTTGATCAGCATAAAATTCTGAATCGATTTAAGCCTGTCCGTTTGTGTAATGTCTGTTGTAAACATTCTCCTGGCCGCAAAAACGAAGCCTTGACTTCGAATTTGGCAGAAACATTGGAAGCTCTTGCTTGCAGAATAGTCTTGAAAATGGGCCAAATCGATCAATGGACATGCTCACAGTACCACAATATTCTGAGAACATCTCTGTTTTTGACAATGAATAAGAAAACGTTTTTTCATCCGTTGCTGCTTATCAAACTAAAACAGGCAAATCTACAGAAATTTGAACGTGCATCCTGTGAGTGATGCTGTAGTGCCTGAAAAAAAAAATGGGAATAATCGAGCACGCCTATCCAATACTATAGTTTATCAAAATTTAAGTTTTTTTTCTCAATACCGTTGTAAGGTGCAGAAGCTGATATTTCAAGTTCGGAACGCACCTAACCATAACCATCTGTCCGTCTGCCGAAAAGTATGATATTTGTGGTAAACATTCTGTGGTTCCCAAAAATGAAAATGACGTAAAACGCGCAAGGAAGACGCTTACAATGTCCACGCGCCTATCCAACCAAAACTACAACCACCTTTGCTTTCGGTGATTTTTGCTTCTTACTCACAAATCACAAAGCTACACCATATAAATTTCTACTTTTATTCTGAATATGGAGAACAATTAGCCGCGCCTAATTTATTTGCCATCCTTTTTTTGTTTAGTTTCCTTCAGGATAACGGTGATGGGTATAAAAAATCCGGTCACAGCTGAATATAATTTTCTTATTTCGTTTTTTTCATTATATTTTTCTTTTCTACTTTCATTTGCATTTTCAGTCGCCCAGATGCCTCTTTTATGTGGTTTGTGAATCCTCTAAAATCCATACGTTATATTGTATGGCATAATTACAAATGGGCCATTCTTAAGGGCTTAATTCTTTGTGGTATTATACTATTCTTTATAATCTTCGTATACTCTGTACCTGGTTATTCGGTTAAGAAACTTTTGGGAGCTTAAATAATAATACTTATCCTTAGTCTTACTTACAAATATATACAGGGTGTACCTGACATGTTGGCCTATATATATATACATACACATATACTTAATCTATAATTTATAGCTACATTAGCTAAACCTATTTTAAATCAAGATGGAGATGGATCATTCCAAAATTCTCAATTAACGAAAGTTCAAATAAAATAAAATAGTGTTAACGTAGTAAAAAGTAATCTCAATATTAATGTAAATATTTTTCGAATAGTTTTACAAACAAAAAAAAAAACTAAAACAATATGAATCATGAAAGTATTACTGCATAAAATAAATTTAAGCAAATAAAGGAATCGGGCCGTATATTAAATACCCACCATCTCAGTCATCGTATACGATTTTTCAACAAGGCGTGTCATTTTAAGCCATTGCTTCACAGGCTGTAGTATGACAGGCTATGTACTCCTACCGAAACCGTCTATATCAGGTCAAGAAAAAGTCAGCCAACAACATTCTATTTAAAGCAATATTTTTGAAAAAGTATGGACCAATCGCATCATCACTCGTAGCAAACTGTCACTCGTTATAGCTTGTTCGATTATTTCTTTTGACAGCTATCACATCTTCAGCGCGTTGTCGAAATCGATAATAATCCGTAGCTGGAATTCTCTTGTTTTTCACTCGTCAAATATCATCGCAATGATTATTGTGTGTTAAGAGTTCTCTGATTGGCGCGAAGTGTAAAATGATAACCCTTGTTGAAAAATCTTACGTATAAAAATTGCAATGGGGGCATGCATATATATGTTGGCATGCCTGTTGTTGTAGTAGATAAAGGATATTAATATTAAATGTAAGGTCGACCTTACCTATGGTTTCAAATCTATTAATAGCAATATTTTCAAGTTTCTCTGCATTAAAAGATACTTTTGCAACGTTTGTTAACATGAATCTTGTCTCTTGCAGATATATTTTGAAAGTGTAGATAGTTTGCCTATCAAGGCGGTCCCATTCGGTTATTTCTCTAACTTTCTGCATTGTGACATTTGGTCCTTGAGTATATATGTGCCAATAACGTCCAGTTATATAACTTATTTTTTAAAACTAAGCTTCCAAGAAGACGCGGAGGATCTATACCCCTTACAGGAAAATAAAAAAATACAACTCAAAGATTCTGTCATCAGAAACTATGCATTAAACAAACATTTCTTATACATACAGTTGCATTTTATCTAAAACTTTGGACCAGCCACTTGGGGGATGTTTCTTGTACGTGCGGGCACGATGGCAATCAGGAAGCATTGTAGAACGAGAGAGCGGTAGAGAAAGTGGAGTAGTGTTTGTGAAAAGTGAAACATCAGCTATGGCGGGAAAGACCACTGCTAAATTCATTGAACTAAAACTCAATTTTGCTGAAAATTCTCATCTTGAATCTAAGTTCGATTCGGCGAGATTATCGTACAGTCTCTCTTTTTTAAGGGCTAATCTTGAAGTCTTTGCTCAAGCTACACCGCAACATTTTCACAGGGATGATCAGTGCCTACGTTCTATCGCAAGTTAACGATATATTCCGACTTTGAGCAACAGTCACATTTATAGCGATAACGTGCTCTTCATTTCTTATTCTTCTGTCCGTTATTGGCATGAAAGCAGTATGAAGAGCGTAAGACAACACGAATTTTCTCATCAAAATATTGATTGCTTCCTTAGTGGAAACCATAGATGCTCGTTGATGTAGGTAAGGTGAAGTTGGCACCACCGAACGAAAATTTTGATAAGAAATTGGTATGGTGTGCAAAGACTGGTCATACTGGTATGCCACTCTTTAATTGAATATGTTTGAAGATTATGACAAGTTGAACCACTAAAGCAACTTGTCGTTTTTCGACTTCATGAACCTTTGAGTGCCAAGAATAGACCATATATATATACATATAAATATATATAGATATATATATAAATATATATAGATATATATAGATATATATATAAATGTCTATATATATAAAGGATGTGATAAATTATGAACGAACAGTTAAATTGTAGAAAAGAGTCAACTCTAATAGTACTTTAGGGTATCTTCTAACTCTAATCGTACTTAGGGTATCTTTATAGGTATCTTTATTTCTTAAAAATAAACTTATTATTCATTCTTTATTATATATATATATTCATCTTTTGATGGCGGTTATAATATTAAAATAAAACGCATCAACACTTACAAGGAAAAACAATAAATGTGAAAACTGTACAATGTATGAAGAAAACATCATTTTATTCTACACTTCTATAATAAAAGCGGTTGTAAGATGAAAGCTTAAACCTTTTTTTAAATTATAAGTAGAAATTTTCAAATATTTATATTTATTACAAAAAAAAAAAAAAACAACAACAACAACAACAAAATGTAAACACAAGTAATTCTTTTAAAATATTCACCAAACATCCTTTTTTTACCTATATTTGTATGTATGGAAATAAATATATTACGCTGCTCGACGTGTAAATTATCTCTTCACTTTTGTATAAATATGAGCTTAGCAGCCTACCCCTTAAATATTAGATTTTGAAAATGTTTATATATCAAGCAATTTATTAAACAATTTATATTAAATAGTGTTGTTTATTTATTCTCAAATAAATTAATATCATGCAATCTGAAGCAATTGTTTACTTTGATCTGAAATCATGTATTCTTTGATTCGACCTTATCTAACTTCAATCATAGCGATGCCTCTAAAGCGGAGTAGAGACACTAGTCAAATGAAACTCACTAAGCGAACGAACACGTAGGGAACTGAAGAAATTTTTGACTTCCCACTGTTCTAATACTTATGGTGTTTATGTTACGACGAAATATTTTAAACACAAGGTTTTTTTCCCAGTTATAGTGTGTATAGGGTGTAATCGTTTTGGGAAAACGTGAACTTGCAGCGCCCAGGAGAAAGTTTCGCAGACATGTCCCTCTGTCCATCTGAGTAATGTCTGTTCTAAACACTTTCCTGGCCATAGAGTTTATAAATTCTAGGATAGTTTCAAATTCGGAATGGATTTAAGCATGTCCGCCTGTTCGTCTCTCTGCCCAATTGTGTAGTATCCGCGATAAAAGTTCTGCCATTCGCAAAAACGGTGATATCGCATGCAAATTTTACAAAAGAGTTGAAACCGACCTAAACCAATTAAAGGACATGCCTACACCACCCGTACACCTGGCTACGAAAACGTTGCTTTTCGTGTTTTTTACTTGTAACTCATAAAGCGGAACTCATACATCATATAAATGTCCATTTCTATTCTAAAAATACAAAAATATCGGCCACGCCCATCCAATGTAATAGACTATGAAAATAAATTTATTCTCCTTTCTTATACCCTCCACTGAAGGAATACGAGATCCACTCGTTTTGTCGTAACGTTTGGAACACCCACGAAGAAGCTTCTTGGGGCCCTATAAAATATATATAATCTTGATCGGCGCAATATTCTGAATCGATTAAGCCATCTCTGTGTGTTTGTGCGAGGTATACTGTTGACACGCTCCCGGTCGTAAAAATGAAGATATCGCCTTCAATTTTGGTAGAAACATTGGAAGTTTATACAAGCAGGTTGGTATTGAAAATCGCCCGCAGTAAAGCGTAAAATGAATACAACTCCGTTTCTCTAAGCAGAAATTCGTGTATTTTTCTTTTTTTAATTTTCTTCTTTTTTTTTGAGGCTTGCTTCTCATTAACATGTTAACACTCATTTTGAAATCGCTGAGTGGTTTCAAAAACATACTTCTTGTTCTTATTTTGTCCATTAATTGCTTTAATTCATATAATAGTTAAACTAAAAATAACTGTATCATCTAACGAAAAATATTACATCATTTCTTATTAAAAGAAGACGAAAGAATTTAGAAGGTAATAATTTCAACAGTGATATACATTGCTTTTATTGTTTTCTAATACTACAACGTACATCCGTCTTTTGTGAATTTTATATTATTATTTAACCTCGTTTGAAATTAAGTTCGTCCGACTAAATTGTGTGTCTATGTATGTATATATATATATATGTGTGTGTGTGTGTGTTTGTGTGTGTTAGGGTAGTAAAGGTTTTATTTACAAATTATATACCGCTTTCTATACCTACCACACTTTAATTCTTTAGTTCTCGTTCTTGTCTTGACACGACTCCGTCTTCCGCAAGTATTCTGCTTATACACCCAACCACGTTACTAAGTTACGTATATTCATCGCGACATTTTTACTACGTTAATCCGTGTCCATTGTTAATCGTTTCACCAGTCGGCAATTGCATAATTCAGGTAACACCATGATTCTATATTTGGTTCACCCCTTCTTTCGAATTCAATTTCAAATCATCAAAAATGACACTTTCATAGCAACACTAAGAATATAGGATTGTTGTAGACGTCATTTATGTCGATGAGTTAATCATAAGGAACAACTTCAATCGACTGTTTAAAACTATTTTCTACATTCTTCGAGCGAAGATACATTATCTGCCTAAAAATGCGTTCATTTGGCAAAAAATATGGCGGGCATTACGACCTGGTGGATTACTTTTTTCTTTAGAGAGTAGGCAGCGCCAAGGTAAGTGTGTTCATTCTAAACACGTCGTTAACAATACCTTTTCGTGAAATAAAGAATGAAAGATAAATTTTATTTCATTCGCTTTATCATGAAAACAAATAAAAGCACAGAGTGCCAAAAGGTGATGAATTCGGCGTCCGGATGACGGTGATGGGTGTAAAAGATTCTTGCTAGACATCATGGAAATTGCTGGTGAGATTTCTTTTATGCCTTAAGAGTCAACGTAGACAAAGTCGTTAAATGAGCCCAATGTTCAATATTAACAGGGATGCGGGTTCGAAACTCGTTTCCGCAGCGGAATATTTTTAAACTATATAAAACGACGACACACTTTTTTTTTTTTTATTATTATTTATTGACATAAATCAAGAAGAAATTTCTTAAAAATTTGTACAACTCCCTAATTCTAAAATGTATTATAATATAATAGAAAATATTATTTCAACAAGTCGGATTACACCACATATCCGTTTGAGGTATGCTTCCTTATTTAATATTATGTCTCATTTTTCGTTTCTTCAACTTTAACGAGTTGTCAAGAAATTATTTAACTGCATTTGGTTATATTTTAGCCTAGGGTCTCTAGTGCGGCGGGCCATCATTTTATAATTCACTACAAAAGCTGCACAAATTAAAAGAAAATGGTATAAAATGATTGCTTACAACTGTAGGATACGCTGTTTTCTCAATCAAATACCGAATTTTTATACCCTAAACCACTTGTGGTGCAAGGTATATTGAGTTAGATCCACCTTTCATTGCACCGATCGAGTCAGAATCACTTTCTAAATCGATTTACGCTTCTCTGTCCGTCTTATGGAAAGCCTCGTGTTCAAACCAAATGTCACAATTTTTGACATATTTTAATGAAAGCACTGGCGTGCTTTGATGCAAGGACGACCCCTACTTTTTCAGCATATAACGCCCTATCCTGGAGAGTCGTTATATGGAAAAAAATTGCAATATTCAGAATTTCTCAGCAAAAGTGGCTAAGTAGGCGTATTTGAGCATTCTAAATTAGTATGGAAACTTTGAACCGACTGGGGCAATTTTTGAACCTCCTCATATAAAAAAAAAGTAAAAGGAAGCTAAATCTAAACGAAAACTAAATTTCATATGACAAAAAGGTATAATTTAATATAAAAAAATTAGCTACGCTAAATTTCGACTAACTCGGCCTATTTTTTGGATCCTATCCTAACCCCAGAAAAGTCCAAGTTTTAATATGTGGTGATGAAAATTGACCCATACTGTTATAGTAATTTCATACCAAAATGAGCTCTAAAAAATTTGGACAATCTGCGCCTATTTTTGCGTCCCCCCTATCTAGGGATTAAACTTACATTACATTGGGTTCCGCTGTGGGCCCACTTCCCCAAAAATAAGCACTTGAAAAAAACATAGAAACAAGAAATAATTTTTGTGTTCTAGAATAAAAATAAGAATTGTTTTAGGTAATGTGATGTAGGGTATTTAACGGTCGGCCTTACCCGACTATAAGGCCCTCACTTGTTTTTCAAACTGAGTAAATTTGTACATTTAACACTAAATTTTAAAGCTTTCTAGTAAAATTCTTCGAAAAAATGTACTGAGATTTCTCACGCCTCACTAACATTCACGCATAGTAATAATGTAAAATTTTTATGAACACTGTAACCTATTTGAGAGAGTTAGCACTGTTGAAATTGCGTGAGTGCAAGCCATCATCTATTCTCTGTTCTATTACACATTCACTTCAATAACTTAAGGCTTAAAGCAGATCTGCGCTAAAGCATCACACACGTAGAAATAAAAGCAACTTGTAAATTTGCTTATTGCTTCTTTCTGGGTTAAACGATGTTCTGCCAAATCTGCTGGAACAGAATGCTATTCGAGTATTATCTCAATCGCAAACGCAGTCGTATCGTTTTTGCCTTTCGTGTCGTATAATAGGCCCGATAGCGAGAATTGTTGAAACCGGCCTCAGTCTAAAGCAATTAAAGACATTGTTCCATGCTCTGTTGATGCTTTCTATACGTTGAAGTACTTGGAAATTATCGTCAAAAAATGCGCGGTCTACATTATTAAACGTATTGAACCCTTGGGTAAGCGAACCCTTTCAAAAAACATCTTGAATTTGAAAACTTATTTATTTATTTATTATCCATATATTTTATAAATAAATTTACAAAATGTGTTTAAAAGGCATCGGATGAACAGATCACATGCGCCTGCAGATGTTATGTATAGTAAAGATGTTCTGAAGTTAAAATTTTAAGCATATAATTACAGGAATATAAAAAAAATATATAAAATATAGAAATGGTAACTATTTACAGGTACATATACATTGTGTAACTGGAGAAGTTGAAGTAATAACTTAAATATAACCTAGGTTTCAAGAGCCTCGTGTGCTCGAAGCGAAAGGAGATTTCTCGGAATCTTGTCTGTTCTTAAACGGTCAAGCACCTTCTTAAGGGATTCGTTCATTTGTCGATAGATGGCATTCGGACGAAATATGGCCGAGAAAAAGGGAGATATGGCAAGATATAAATAAATTCAGGCAGTAGGTCCAGGTTCAGTAGGTCCATAATAAACGTAATATTGAATAACGACCTATTTACTCTAAAACGGGCTGAGATAAATGAATTCAGCTCGGGTAAAGAGATTACTGCAGTCTGGCTTGTTAAGTGAAGGGTTGATTGATCGCGGAAATACCTTAGAATGTGTATAATGATCGAAATTAACAGCGCTTCTAATGGACTCGTATGGTGAAGCAAGAACACAAAGCGGTTCAAATAAATGAAACTCATTCACCAGCTTATTACCGTCAGTCCCAATATGGGCGTAAATCCAAAGGATATTATCGTAAGCTTGGCTTGCTGAAAAACCTAGATCAGAACTCCGACTTAGAAAGCAGACCTTTTTTCCACATACTTGGAAAAATTGATTGCAACTTAACTACTTCATACTATTATATATGAGCTTTGCACGCCTCTGGGAGCTATGTGAAACTGCAATAAAAAATATATATGAAAAGGAATGGTGTAAGTGATAGTAGGAGGAAATAAACGCAGTTGTTTTTGTTTTTATAATAATTTTAATGATTTATAAATAATCTTACCAACTGCTTTTCTTAATTTTTTTTTTTTTCTTTTCTTAAATATAGAAAATAGGAATATTTTAAGGAAAATGAAAATAAAAAGTATGCAATTAGATTATATTGTAGGATACTTTGCTACTTTTTGGTAAAAAAATAGAAAAACAAAATTAAATTTTATATAAAAAATTAAAAATAGTAATAATAAGAAAAAATGAGCAGACTAAAATAAATAACATTTAAGGAAAACAGGTCGATGTAATTAATTGGATAAGAAGCAATAAAAAAAATGCAAATGAAGGCTAATACAAAAATTAAAGTGATATATGAAAATAAGAAAAACGAAATTTGAAAACAATAGAAAGAAAGAAACTGTTTAATAATAATATTAAACTAAATAAATACTAACACAATCAATAAAGAAATATTAATAGACTATAGAAGTAAGTGATGGTATAAAAAAGGTAATAAAATAAAATGAAAGAGCATTTCAGAAATGATAACGCAATAAACAATATATAGAAAATGAGAATAATTTCAAGGCTTTTATAGCAGTAAAACGGTTAAGAGGCAAAGAAAAAAAAATTAAATTTAAAATTAAACTAAACTAAGGAAAAGGAATTGTTTATTTTATTATGTAGTTTTACTAAATTTATTTTTTAATTTCATCTTCACATGTATTTAATGTTACCATCAATAAAGTGAATTCTCTAGATATTACGGTTTTCTTTTTTTTTTTTTTAAGTTAATTAACAAAATTACTTAAAAAGTCCCGATAAAAAGTTGTAGAGGGAATGCGCGGCAGTATTTTTGCTTAGTTTTCTTCTTCTTTTTCTTTTTTGTTAATAATTTTTTTTTTCTAATTTACGAAAATGAATTATAGGTTTGTTAATTTATTTCTTTTTTATAACAATATATATATATATATATATATATTACACTATATATATATATTAAATTATTACAATTAATTTTGCTTTACACATTCACATAATTTGTGAAAGTAAATGTTTACCAATAATTAAGAATTTTATTAATCATGTATATATATACTGTTTTTGTAGTAATGTTGTTGTTATGCTAAATATTCATACTTAAATAATTAAAACTATTACAGTAAGAAGAAACAAGAAACAGAGAGAAGAGTGTGTATCTCGTTCAAAGTGGTTCTTTTGTGATTTCTTTATTCCGCAGTCGTCTTAAAAGTTTAATTAAATAAAAAGTTACTCTTAATTTGTAATTATGCCACAATTTTTATGATTGATATATATATATATATATATTTTTTTTTTTCAGTTTTTTTCTATCGCTGTCACTTATTGTAATAGACTGTCGGTTAAACCGTCTGTTTGTTCGTCCGTTGCAACTTCTCTCGCTGGTCTTAAAGAAAATAATCAGCTTGAGGTTTTTTCGAAGGTATACCTCGGCTCTCCTGTGGTGCCGCTTCAAAAATAACAAAATCACGATGCAGGTACTCATTCAACTCCAATATAGCCGCCACATTACCACATCTTTAAAATAGCATCAACTCCAAATAACAAAAAAAGTTTAGGCTTGTAATTCATTTCACTTACCGATAGCAATAATTGGGTGCTGACCATACCGTAAGTACAGCTTCTCCAAAGTGCCATTTAAAGCCTTCCATTACTAGTTGATGAGCTCTGCAAATCATATCAATGTCGTTCGTACGTGTAAATTGCATAACAACGTCAGCCCCGAACAAGTAACCAGCGCCGCGAGGCGACACACCCCAACCTGTTTGGTCCTCTGGATCGGACCACAACAAATCACACATAGGACCGTCATGTGGTACTTCCTGTTTACGATCGATAGTGCGTATCTGATCTAAATACTGAAGAGACGGCGATAGACCACCATGAACGCAAAAGATTTTGCCATCAATAATTGCAGACAGCGAGAGATAATCAAAAATCTCCGTGCAGTAACGCCAAACGGCTGTGGAACCATATTTTCGCAGACATTCATCATAGAAACCGTACACTTGAGTTATTTGCCGTGATTCATGATTTCCTCGTATCAGTGTGATACGATCAGGATAGCGAACTTTCAGAGCCAAAAGCAATAAAAATGTTTCTACACTATAATAACCGCGATCCACAAAATCTCCCATAAACAAATAATTTTTTTCTGGTACATCGCCACCCACTTTAAATAATTCTTTTAAGTCATAAAATTGACCATGTATATCTCCACATACAGTAACCGGTGAGTCGACACGTTGAACATTGCCTTCCTCGACAAGTATTTCACGAGCTTTAGCACATAAAGCCTTCACCTCATTCTCTTTAATAATTTCACAACGTTTTAGCTGCTCAATTTGACGGTCGAGATCGCTGTAATCTGTCATAATGAATGAGGAGGTTCCGTAGGTATTTAATACAAACACGTAAAAACAAACAGGCGGGCAGGCAGGTGTTTACAACGCTGTAAATGTTAAAAAGAAAAACTTTACGCGTTGTCTTAACACCCCTAGTGTGCTTTTGCACTTGTGATGAACTGAAAACATAAGAAAAGTCCCAATTACGATCCTGCCCAATCAACAACAGTATTTTCACAAAGCACGAAACCAAACAAAATCCATAAGCACTAAAAATTTACGATTAGTGTTCCTTGAAAAAAGAAAAAAAATACATTTTTTCCAACGCAACCGTCAACATCCATATTTTTTGCCTACTATTTCTAATGCTTACGTCGATGTCGCTGCTCTGCTTTAAAATTTTCCTTATGTTACACTCACCTTGTACTTGTACTTGAGTTAATGAAATTCCCCCTAAACTTTTTATACACAATTTTCTACGCAAAGATTATTGTATTAGTTTCACTTGGTTTGGCATCTTTGCACTGTTCCTGTTGTTAAAAATTAAAAATTTCGTTGTTAAATCTTTGGAAAGAAAGCAAAAAGGAAATTCTCCGACACACAACGCTTGGCTGGCTAGAGTTGTAAAAATATGTACATTTAACTAAAACCCAGGGTTGTTTAGTGTTTAGCGTATGGACAGGGTGATTAAAATGTTCAAATACTAAAAGATTTCCACATTCCTTTTCTTTAGTGCTTTTGATTATTGTTCTAATTTTATCATTTATTTAAGGTATATTCTAAACATATTTTTAAAAAATTTCAATATACTTTTGAAAAACCTATAAAAAAATAAACTTACACTGCCATAATATTTTATAATAACTTAACAACATTTTTCATTCAGAGAAGAAATATCTTTGATTATAATCATTGCTGGCATTGTTAGTGTAAAGTTTTGTTTACTCTGAAAAGAGACTTCTTTCATTGTAAATAGTGCTGCCATTGTTGTTGTATAATTTTGTTTACTTTGTTTGTAAGGATGTATATAATTTCTTATTGCGAAAGCTTTGCGCGCCACGCGCAAAAATAATAGAGCTTACGACAAAAATAATAGAGCTTGTCATGCAATCTAAACGAAAATATCAACCTCCAGGAACGTAAAGTTCAACAATTACAACAACAAGAAAGCTTTAATAAAAAACTTATGCTTCAATCCAAGCGTTTATTTTATTATGTCCATCACCGAAGAATGCGGGATGTGTTTATTTTGACAAAACCTTTACAAAGCCCCGAAGGAAGTTTCATAGACCCCACATATATTCTTCAAAAAGGAAGCTATCGACTTTAAATTTGGCAGACACATCCACAGCACCACGTAAACTGAGAACATCTCTGTTTTTCAAAACGAATAAAAAATTGTCGTTTTGCCAACTATTTACAGAGTTGAACCTTTGTTTTGCCGACGGCTTTGCATTTTAACAGATTTGAACCTTTGTTTTCTGTTAAGTTGGACATTTCACAGCGCTTCAGCCTGTTAAATTGGGCATTTAACATTTTGTCTTGAAAATTTTAAATAATTGTTATTATGATGCACCTAGATTGACATAAATGACGTCAATAAAAGCGCTGCCACTTAATAGCGAATTTTTTCCTATGAAAAAATGTAATTAAGTTTTTCATCATATCTATACGTATACGAGTGCACATACATAGACTATTTATGTTAACATAATGATAGTATGAAAAGCGTACTACTGAGTATCAAAAGGTAATGAAATTACAGGATTTTTATTCTTTTAATTGCATTTTGGTGAAGGGTTATCTTGTAAAGCCAACAGATACTGGGCTATTAATGCCATCAAAACCGAAATCGCGTAACATTTCACGCATCTCGATTTCAACCAATTCCAAAACTTCCTGATCAACTAAGTTGGCTTTATTAACAAACACTATGACACGTTCGACACCGACTTGCTTTGCCAATAGCAGCCACAACCAAAATAGCGCCATCCATTTGTGAGGCGCCGGATATCATATTCTAAGAATATTCACGAAATCAAAATTAATAATACCGTTTATTCCTGCGTAGAAAGTAACCAACTTTTATATAATCATCATGTCCAGGACAGTCGGTATGGACATAAACGAAAGCAGAAGAATGTAAGCAAATTTGAACTCATATTCAATGGACGGTACTGTAGTATCTGTGCAAAAATAGAAAAAAGTGACCACGTCTACCCAATATGCACTTTTTTCAACACTTTTATGAGGCTGAGAAGCGAGTTTAAAAAACACCATAAAGTATTTGTGGTAAACATTCGCCTGTTAGTGAAAATGACGATACCACCTACAAATTTGTCGAAGAATTGAGAAGTAACTTAATTTTTTCGAAAGACAAGCCTACAGTGCCCACACGCCTGGGAATAAAATATTAGTTAGTTGTAATGATTGAAGTTCTTAATTACGGCATGCAAAGTTTCTCTAAACAACGACACTTGATTTCAAAGTGATTCCGCCAAAATTGAAAAAAAAATATTTTTTTAGTTACATTAATATATCTAAACTTTGCGCATCTGACTTCGAGCAGGCATATATACGCAACCAGACACAACATACATATACGTACATGCATATGTACGGGAATATATCTATCCAATGCAAAGTTCCTCATTGATTGAAGATCATCTCAATATAAAATTGGATAAGGTAATAGTTAGTTAATTCAGTCTGATTAGAATACAACTTATTTGGCATTTTTGTAGTCTTTAATTTACTGCAATATGTTGATTGCAAGCAAGGTTAAGGTTGCGATCACGGTCTTTCAATGAATCTTGATGAGCAGTTGCTTATTATTTTTTTTTTTTTTTTTTGTTTTGTAGATTCTTTACGATTGACATACCATCCGGTGTACTTGAAGATTTTTAAAATAATTAATTTCTTTCCCCACAAAAATCACGTACTTACGCAAAAGTATTACGCTATTTGGAAATATAAAAGCATTTAATTTTAAAATTGTTAGTAACAATAACTGATATCGAGTGAGAGAATACAGACGTGTATGGAAATTTTTAAGATGTATTTCAAATATATGTGCGTCGCTTTGACCATAATAACACCGGTAAGTTGTGAAAGACGCCTTTGAAAATGCTTTTGAGTCTCTGAGTTGCACTGATATTTCTTATTTACAGTTCTCTTTGGGCTATAATACTGCAAGTGCAAATGTGCCACAACATTATGAGGCGGCAGGCGTAAATGAGAATGTAGAGAAATTTGTAAATGCGGCCACTTGCAATCAGCATCCAGCTTTTGCCTCTTTTTCCGACGCAGCTAATGTTGCGTCGTCCATTAGTAGCGATTCAACTCAAGCGACCGGACAATATCCGGCATTTAACTACAGTCCGACATATGAAAATGCGAAGAAAACTAATGATTATACTGCTCCAAGTTTAACTGAAAATTTTTTAACTTCTAATCTCCGAAAAAGCAACGCTCAATTCGTCAGCCCAAACGTCTTGACGCAAAATGAATTTGGAAGCCTCCTTTTACATAAGAATGGCAACAACCACCAACTGATTGTTAATCGGCCTTTGCGACCAATTGTAGTTACTCACCCAGGTTCCCAGCCAGCGCAGATAACAAGTGGTCAACCAGCCGTTGTTAACACATCGCCAGTTGTTTACAAACTGAAACCTTCCGTTATTTATCAACACGAAATTGTCAATAAAATTCCAACACCTTTAAGCCTAAATCCTGTATACGTAAAAGTCTATAAGCCCGGCAAACAAATCGATGCTCCATTAACGCCGAGAGATGCATCGAATTATCAACATACAAACCAACGAGCTTACGGTATGCCCTACGATCGGGCAATCGATCCCCCAGCTCCCAATGATTATGCGGAGAAGTTCCTACCATCCAATATGTTGAACCCGTCGTCATCGGGCTATTGATTTCTCATGGGAAAAAGCTCATTTTCTTACTTTCAAAGGTTTCATTTCATTAATTTTGATATGAAAAATTTATAAATAAAATAAAATAAAACATAATTTATCTTTTATTACTTACCACAACTGAGAAAGTATAGAACAAACTAAAAAATCGGTGACAGTCAAACAATTGATTAAGTAAAATACATTTTATTGTGTGATGCATCATTTAGGGTATGTGCTCTATGCGTGCCGCAAGTGAGGGAAGAGGGAGAGAAACGGCCGTACCCTTGCGGGTGTATGCCCAATCATGCTCGCTGTAACTAATGTGGCTAAAGTAAACTCTATCACGCTTGGGATTTAAACACACGAACACAAACTTGGTAATCGCGATTCTTACCGGCTCACCTACGTTGCTAATGGTAATCACTGTCGTGCCAAAGTTTACGCACCACGCCCAATTGAAAGCTGCGGGCCGACATAAAAACCCCAAATATCAGTAAGATTTAATATAAACCTCTGTTCTTTATAAGACCAGTTAAGCTAACTTCTTTGGTATAGAATGGGAATTGAAAGTTCTCGAAACACTTCCACGCAATACTCCCAACACTTTGGGATTAGTTTAACATCATCGATTTTACCTGTGAGCCATCCAAACAATAACTTAATCTCAAAAAGTCGCAAGAATATTAAGAAATACCGGTCGAGGCAATTCCATGCATGCACGAAACTTTGATACTCTCTTCAATCATGTCTCTAGTTATCGCACTACCAACCACCTTTATTCCACGCTTGATTTCAAATGCATTTTATTTGAGTTAACAACTTGAATTCATAATTCAAATTAACATGTCAATCGAAACCGTTCAATTATTTGGTACAAGCACCGACTTCTTTTGAATTGCCCTTAGCCATGCATTCCTTCAAAGGTCGTCTCGACGAAGATTTGCTTCGACGCATTACTAGATGCAATTTCTTTATACCATTCTTGGCCAGGTTCACTTGAACTTCGCGTATTGTAATTTCCAGGCGTTCTGAGATTAGCAAGCAAAGGGTCTCGACTAACAATTAAATGGTCGTGGTCGTACAATAGAGTTTTTGAATAAAGTCAATCTGCGTTAGATGCTAGTGCCTTAAGACCATCGTGTTCGAATTTATTTCTCTGGCCAAAAAGTTAATAATAATAATACAAATGAAAAACAGGTAAGAAAATTATAGTCAGTCGTGACAGAATTTTTTATACCCATCACCGTTATCTTTCAAAAAGATAAAAAAAAGTAAGAGAACCAACTCTATAACATGGAGTGGGCGCGACTGATTCAACATGAAATCGAGAATGTATATGGTGTCTGTGTGTGTGTGTGTGTGTGTGTTACGCATTATGAGTAACAAGAAAGAAATGGAAAGGATGAAGGCGCTATAGGCATGGCTTTTGACCGGTTTGGGTCATTTTTAAATTTCTTTGCACATTTGTAGGCGATATCTGCAGTTTAGCGACATGTTTACCACAGATTCTGCACAGTTGCGCAAAGATAGAGATGACCGGACGAACAGAGAGACATGCTTAGATGCATTCCAAATTTGTAAGTGGTTGGGAAGAACTTTTGCATTTTTTTGTGTGAGTGAGCGAAAGACCCAAGAGTGGTTTGCTCGATACCCTTCGAAAAATTTCAATGTCAAACATGCCCCTCGCAATCACTAAAAAAGTCAATCAAATTTTGCAACTGGAAGAACAAGACCAGCACCCAAGCTATCAGAAAATAGCAGACACTAAACATCAACCATATGACAGTTCGGAATCATTGGAAAAGAGCCGGCATTGTGAGACAAAGCTCGATATCGATGTCGATGAGTCGCAAAATCGCTATTCGTACTGAAACTGCAAAGTTATTGCCTTCCGATTATTCACGGAATCATCAGCTTTATACACATCTTAAGTAAATCCAAATTTTCTCTTAAATCGCGTATTAAATGCATGAATACTCATTTTGTATGTATATAAAGTATTCTTAATTGATTAGGTCATGCCCGTCCGTCTGTATGTCTATGTGTTGTTGGTACTCTGCTGATCGCAAAAATGGAGATATCGACTACAAATTTGTTAGAAACGTCGCAAGTTTCTGCACGCAGGTCGGTATTGGAAATGGGCCAAATCGGTCGTAGCGGAAGCATGCAATAGGCCGCAAACTGCACACAACTCGGTTTTTTTTCACAAAAATTTTTGAATTTTTGCTCAAACAAGACAGTTTAGTTTAGTTTTAAATTATTTTGTGCACTCCTCTCAAATGAAGATATATTATCTGCCTAAAAATGGGTTCATTTTAAAATGAATACGGTAGAACACCGCGACCTGGTGGCTTCTTAATAATACCGTTGATATGGGTATCAAATAAGAGAACTTGTAGTAGAGTAGAATGCGAAATACATAGTAGTGGGTATGCGAGATCCGGCCCTCGCCGAATATAGCTTTCCTACTTGTTTCGTTTACTATTCCTTTTTTCTCAGGGATATCATTTGTGATCCGCAGTTCGGCTCGTCCATTCGAGTGTTTATACTCTTTCAATTCTGTCTTGGCAGTATCACGAATTTAAAAGAATATTCAGTCTGGTCCTCTTCTTTATGCTTTCGTTGACGGGACAACCCTTTATAGGTTAGGTGCATTTGTCATGAACGAGCCCTTAAAAGCAGTTCTCAAGACGAAATTACGGAGAGGTAATATAATATAACCCATTGAAATAATGAGGTTATGCAGAGAAAACTTGACACGTGAGCTTCTAAACCGATTCGGGGCAGGGCTGGCAACCAATAAATGAAGAAAGAAGAAGTGGAAATGTTACAAAATATTTACTTAAACTCTCTTTACTACCCATTTTACACCTCGTTTTATTACGCATTTTCAGATTGTCATTATAGTGCAAATTAAGGCATCAGTGTTTGTAATTTTTATTGAATTAAAGTACTCACGTTTAATTGTTTAATGCGGAAATGTACAAATATTAGAGACAAAAGTCTTCTTTTTTTTTACATGACACCTGATCAACTATGCCACAGATACAAGACAAGAACAACTTTATTGGAACCATAATGTCACGTCTGATGATTTAAAAGTAGATTAATTTTTTGAAAAGAAGAGACGCTTTCATGCCAACGAATAGTATTTAAATCATTGCTAAAATTGAATCAATATTCAGTTAACAAGAAAGAGGTTTTACACAATCACCAAAATACCAAAAAAATGCGTCTCTTTGCAACGTTCGCTACTTTAATAATTGTATGTTAAGTATATATATATATATATAAATATATATATTTTTTTTTTTTTTTTTTCTTTTTTTTTGTATCAAAAATTAATAAAACTGCAAATTGATTTCAGGCTATTACTGGAATTTGTGGCTATTCGGCTCCTAAAAGCTATAATGAGGCTTCTGCCAGCAGTTATGAGGCAAATCCTGGCAATTACCATCCGTCGACGGGAGGCTCGGAGTCAAACAATGACAATTCCGCCAGCGCTGCATATCCGCAAGATGTCGACACTCAACGTTATCAAAATTACGAATATCCGACTTCTTATGGCAGTGGCGGTCAAAATGGTCCATATGCACCAGAGAATTTACATGGCGACAGTGCCTCTTCGTCGGTCACTTATCCAAACAATAAAGGGGAAATTTTAATTCATCGACCTGCACCAATAATTGTCAAACGTCCCCCCACAAAAGTGTTGGTAAATCACCCGCCTTTAGTAGTTAAACCTGCTCCGGTCGTTTTGCATAAGCCCCCAGCAGTTGTTATGCGCAAAGTCTATGTCAAACATCATCCACGTCCTGTTAAGGTTGAACCCGTATACGTTAATGTTGTGAAACCACCAGCAGAAAAATATTACGTTAATGAAAAGCAACATCAATATCAAAACTCTCAATCATATGCACCAGCAGAGAAGTATTTTGTAAATGAAAACCACGAGCATCAATATCAATCATACTTACATCAGCCCAGATACGAATCATCTCAATCACCAACAGTCGAAACGATTAGCGTAGATAACTCAGCCGCAATGAACGCATATCAACAACACTACGCCAACAATCAAGTTTTAACTCAAACAGGCCATGTGAACAATGCTGATCGATATGATGCTTCGTCCAATGTTCATACGTCCACACCTTATAACGGTCAATCTTATTAACAAATGCACTCAATACTGGGGATAATCTCAATATTCTCAAAATTATATGAAAAAAAAAAACAAAAATAATTTAAAATGTAACAATCATGACAAATAAATCGTGAACGATGAGTGAATTAAACTCATTAAAAAGTTGAAGGTTCGAAATTCGATGGACACTAGTTGAAAAAGCCTATCTCTATATCTGCGAGTAGAAAAAGAATGAAGATATCGTAACATCTATCCGTTCCTGAAAAAAAACGAAAAAGAGGCCCTTCTTAGTATGATATTCCATTTCATTGCTTTCCGTATAATGTTGCTTTCCACTGTATCGAACTCTATTAGGAAATTACGAATGTCATTTATTTGTTCTCTTCTTCACATTACTAGGACTAGATCGCACTGTTATAAGATAACAGTTGCTAGCTGCATGATCCATCGTAAAATCTAATAAACTTAAATTAATTCACTTGTTTCTTACCGAATGCAGCTAACACAGCATATCATATAGCTTTTGTTTTTTCCATGGTAAGGATGGGAGAAGGAGAAGAGACTCGTACAGCGACCAAAGACTAAATCAATAATTCGAAGGATTTTAATTTTATAATCAACTAACAGCAAATACGGTTTCTTTCCTTCTAACTAGGAATTGAGTACAAGTATATACCTTTTATACTAAGTGCATCGTTCACGGTGGATGTATAATCGTCCATGTGCAAGCTAAAACGTGCATATTCGATACTGAGTACTTATTACAAAATATATATATATATAATAGCAGTTACGTGAAAATGTGGTCCCAACTGAGCAAATTGAGAAGGACAAAGCTCGCTCTAGTTTATTTCGTTTGTCGTTCTGTCCGTTAAAGACACCTAATGTATACAGCAACAAAATACAATTGAGGTGATACCGTGATCAGAAGTCGGTCGATTTATGTCCAGCTGTAGCAACAAAAAAAACCAAAAGCGCCCGTTAATAACGAACGAAATTCTCCATTGGAATCAAATCCAATCAAAATTGTACCAGGCATGTCCAACACGTCTGTTGATGATAGCATTCTTCGTCCAGTCCGCGATGAACGTACACGTTTGCTGTAATATAGCGATTAACAGTTCCGAAATTGTTTTCTATTTCTGATTTATTTTGGTTTTTTTTTTTTTTTTTTTTTTGTAATAAAAGTAAATTTGCACTATTCTTTTTGCACGATCTTTCGCAGAAATATGTAGAGATTCTTCATGTTAAAGGATTTTTTTAAAGTTGTGTAACGTATGACCAAGTTTACCAGTATATTTTTACACGACTTTTTTTTGCGCGAATTTCCAAGGTACACATCTACCGTGTAAAAAAAGATTTGTGTGACTCTGAAACACTGAAAGATAATTGCATGTTCGGCAAGCTCGAAAAGAAACGTGGAAAGTAAATATTTCTCGCATTGGCAGTCGAACGGGTAGAAGCCGCCACAGCCACTACGCTGCGGCCATAACGTTTCCTATCTTCTTCTCTTTATTCACTTCTTTCTGATCATCACCGTATTGTGCTGATAGAGAGCATACACCGCCGAGCATTTCTTTCATTTAAAAAAAAAATGTAAAAAAAAAAAATTTTTTATCTGCAGCAATTATCTGTAAGCGATTTGAATGCATTTTTTGTGAAAAGCATGGCTTATGGAAGTGAAGAAAGTGATGATGAAAACCTAACAATCTGAGCGGCGGAGTAGGCAAACGATTTTGGCTAACAAGTCGATGGTGCTGGGTTCAAAACTCAAATGTGGCAGACTTTTTCAACAAAGCCTTAGATACCTTCGAACTTATTACTCTGGCTAAATTAATTGCAATAACAATAATAATAAACTATTTGTCGTTGTCTTTAAATTGCTAACAACGTTAGAATGCGTTTACCTGTACTTAATGCAAGCCACTCAGCGCGCAGCAACAAAATTGAGCGATTTTAAGTATGAATGCACGCAACTTCCGATACTCAAAGAAAACTAGGTCAATGCATAATCACCTAATATATTAAAATTCTAAAAATTCATGTTTCACGAAAATATTTACCATACGTCAGTTAATTCGGACACATCGACTACATATTAACTTAGTAAACATTGGTTACACTTGAGTGGTCGACGACAATTAACAATTAAGTGCAATATATGCATAAAGAGGAGAAAAAATTACAGACATTGCAGAAAGTGTTATAAGTAAAAGGTCAAGGGTAAACTACGCTATCCGCTCGCGGCTCGTCACCCACCATGTATTACGTTAACATCGCAATTTTATCAGTACTATGCTGCCATTATATATTTTCACAAAACTTTTCGGTAAGAGAAGATAAGTTCAAGCGAAATAATAGTTGCATTCTTTCATGCCTTCGAACTACAAACCCAATTAATTTAACACCATATTTATTATATGAAATGATATCATATTCTACAAGTGACGTAACATAATTAAATTTCATTATTCGTAGCATACGACGCCATCTATCATATGAAATCGTAAGTGGCAGTGCATTCATTGGAACGTTGCTCTCTTTTTTATAGATCGTCGCCACGTCACTATGTCGCGCTATAGGCCGTAGGAAGAAATCCTAAATCAGGCGAATATCACCCTCATATAATCGATGATCAATGTTCGATTTTTAGTTAAATAATCAACAGCAGCCAGTTGGAGTTTATTCATTAATTCATTCATTAATTAATTCTGTCATTGTTATGAATTTCAATGAAAACGTTGGCTCCACTTTAATGAATACACGTCCATCTTTGATGACATTTTCAGATATTCATTTCGTTCGTCGAACGTTTCGTAGGTTACATACACGTACACGTTTTGGTAAAAGTTATGGCACACTTAAGACGTTCGCTCTATTCGATATTCGTTACTGGATCTAGCCACAAAATCACACTTTCATTTATTATGCAATGCAATAACGCAGTGATGAATTCGGTTTTCAGTCACCAATAGGCGATTACACAAAGAAATGCGAATTGGTCCGGCTATCCTCAAACAAACACAAGTTTCGATGCAGAATTGCAAGCATTGTTTAGCTGCCTTTACAGCATAAAAATAATATAATGAAAAATCTTCAATCTTTATACGTTTTCCATATAAATCGGCATTACCGCAATGCGCTATATACAAATAGATTAATTAACATGGATTGAAGATTGAAGAAAAATCATGTCAGGGATTTATACTTTCATATCGACCGCTAACAGACCTGTTGCAGACAAGCTTACGTTTAAAGGTACAACTTGTCGCACATGTATTTTCACTAGTTATTAATCAAGTTAGACAGGATGCAGGACAACAAGAAAGACAAATTTACGATCTATGATGCGCATTGAGAAAAGTGGTGCTCCTTTAGTCCATCTGGTTTCGTTGGCTTAAACAGCTTTTTATCTCTTAATAGAAGACATTATTTTGGATGTGATAAAATTTGAAGGGATTTTCCATATGAGACCGTATTCCGTTCTCTTGTAAGATTATGCTATATGAATATTCTGGATTTTAAGCCTTTGTGCCTTTTTTTTTTTTTTTTTTTGCACTTCACGCAGTCTTGTCCTTTTAGGAGACCCTGTTGTCGCACATTACGCGGAAACAATTGAAAATCTTTTCTTTGTCTCCTTTCAGCGGTTGTCGAGAAGCCAAGTCATTGTCTTACAGTGAAAAAAGATTTGCAACATTTAGTGTTAAACCTGTAGTAACGTAATCGGAAGACTATTTTGAAATACGTGTATTGTCAGCCAAATTTTTCACGTGTGGAGAGAGCACCTTCAAAATTTATGATTGCAATGTTATCTCATTACGCCTTGCATTCCACCACATTTGATATATAGTACCTATTAAAGTTGTGTAGATATATGTAACACCAAAAAAGATTTAAGAAGAATCATCACCTTAAGTTTAAGCTTGTTCATCTTTCTGTTCATAGATTTTGTGTGCAACCAGTTGACTATGTCGGCCTCTTTCGAAACTTGCAGCACAAAAATTTTGCGATGCCGAGTATACTCATAATATCCGGAGTGTATGTATTTTAAAATACGTTATTATGCCAAATACACACAAATAAGACAAGGACAGATGGATGTATGATGTATAAATTCGTTCTACACAGTCAACTGGTTAGCCTGACTGACGTATTTTGGCCAAAGAAGGAACTTTTTTAAAAATGGATTGAATAACACGACTTCTACGACCGTTTAACCCCATATACCGCTTCGACTCGACAACATTCGGCGTACTGAAAATTAACGTGCAAAACCTAGTTCGGATGGGCCAATTGTCTCAACCGCTTCGTGTGTAGATATACATTTCCTACGGAAAAGTAAATCTTTCTATACCAAAAATGTCGAAATTTTATTATTTTATGGCAAAAAATTAATCTATAAGAGTAACTTGACATAAAAAATCAACTATAACGAATTTGGACACACAGCACAGGTGCACTTTTCAAGCCCGATCCCATATAAGGGACGAAAGCCATTCTAAGGCAACAAAGTCTAATATCAAGTAACCTAAAACGAATAGAAATGAAAAATAATAAGAGCTTTGACAAGAAAGCAATTTTGCTAGCTGTGAGACATGCCACTTGTCACTTGTGTCACCTTCCATATGAAGGCTTCCATTGGAAAGTATACCTTTAGACCGGAAAGAAGACATAATTTTTTGATATCAATCAATGTAAAATTGTTATAGTCACAAGTATAGGGTATTTAATGGCCAGCCATAGCCAGCGCTAAAAGCTTTTCTTTTTTCATTTTTAATTACGTTTGCGTATAATTGTGAGTTTTCATGTGACAATCTCATATATCATAGGATATCTGTTTTTTTTTTTATTATACCAACCTGTATAGCTTTGGTTTTCAATCGGCAAGTTTTCGTAAGTGTAGCAAGGCCTTTTTTTTTGCTGATCTTGCAAATAGCCCTCGTAAGATTTGGATTAAACGGTTAGGTCATTGTACCTGAACCGAACCGAATTCTAAAAATTTGTAAGCTTCGTTGTACAAGACACTCAGGCGGATAAAAAAATTCCTCATAGAAATGTTATTGTAATGTAGATATTCTAAAAGCGTTTAAATTAGACAGACAACTTTATCATTGTAGCACTGGTGCAGCACACAAATGATATTAAACGGTTTTCCCAATATTTTCAGAATTCGGTGATCGTAAACGCGACGCCTATCAGAGTGAACCAGCCGCCTACGCTGAATATAACAAAAGCAATGCAGAACATTTTTAAAACGCATTCCAATGTCGAACGTTTTAAACGCAATAATCCAACTGTAGTTAAAGCGCAGACATTTATCGAACTAATACTGGGAATTGTCGACATCCTGCAGTTTGGCAAACGCAAATTTCAAAATTAAATGAAAGAATGAATTGATAGAAATATAAAAAAATCTTTATTATATAAGAATATATACATATATATAAATAATATATATAATAATATATATAATAATATATATAATTATATATATAAATATATATATATATATATATGTATATGTAGATGTATTTATTATAAAATATGAAAATGTTCTGAGAAACTATTTTTTTTATTAGTTAAAGTTTAACAATAATGAAACGAATGCTATGCCCTGCCTTGATGTTACATTCGTAATAAAAACGATTTGCATAAAAAAACTGCTCTCGCTTACTTGAAATCGACTTATCGAGTTAAGGCGAGAAAAAAAATAGAAATAGAATTAGAAAAGTATTCGAATTCATACAGCAATGAGATAAAATTCAACGATTTTATATTAATAAAATCAGCATCGATGTGGACCAGATTTGAATGTGTACCTTAAAATGTTATAATACATCGTATGTTTATGTTGATGTTGATGAATGTGTGCATGTAGGTGCATTAGATAGTAGATAATGCGTATGCTGCATGCAGCTAACGCTCTCTAGAAAACAGTATGTATAAAAACCATATACCATGCCATATACATTGGCCTGATTGAATCATGGAAACGAAAGGGAAATACTAAGCAATATATAGTAAGTGATGTTCGCTATACACTTTAAAATTTCTTACTCTTGATGATCGAATAAATATTCTCGCTTATGTTTATGTTATTCCTCGTTCGCTAAATCTTATAAAATTGATTGAATAAATGGTGCACACAACGCTGTGTGTGTGTGTGTGTGTGTGTGTATGTGTGTATGTAAACTGTTGTTTAAATATTATTATAAAACGTACTACACCTAATGGCTAAAATTTTAATATATGTATGTAAATGCGCGTACATACTGAAAATACTATGTCATCAGATGGATTGAAGAGTCAAAATGTTTTGCGCATATATTGCTATTAGTTTTAATTATTTGTTGTCGACTTTTCAAAGGTTTTATTACGATTAGTGTTAATAAGAGATTCTTGCGTTTCAGCCGCTAAGTTAATATTTGCAACAGCGCCAGATAGCAAGGGAATGGTATTCGGCTGAAAAGCCGTTTGATGAGTTGGTGGCAAACACCAGTAACCCTGCAGAAAAGATGAAATTAAGTTAGCTCAGGAAAATTAGGAAAGAGTTATTCTTATGCGCCCCACACCACTTGGAGTGCACAAATGTGCGCTAAGTTTGCACGGATGTATGCAACGCCCAAGAGAAATTGAGATAGACCCAACTTTCATTATAGCGACCGATTCAGAATCATTTCCTGAAGCTTGTCTGTCTGTCTGTCTGTACCGTTTTCTCATGTTCAACCCATGCTGCAACCTTTGAGATATTTTAATGAAATTCGGTACACTGAAGCGTCTTCTTTGGCCGAAAATCGAACGCTATTGAAAATGTTACGGTTCGGATCCCTTTTTCAACGACTTCCCTTGTAACGCCTTATTTTGAAAAGTCGTTATATGAATAACTCTAAAGTGGTGTAGGGTAATTAATGGTGGCCCGCGGCCTACCATAGTAGTTTTTCTTGTTTTATATTTGTACGAATAGACGAATTTTTGATTTGCAACAGTCGAAGCCGTATTATTACATCATTTACAGCTTCATATAGCAAAACAAGTTACACGCCATATGTACCGTTTTCAGCGCATGCTACATTTTTATAACAAAAACTAGTTTTTAGACTAAGATTAGGACCATCATAGCACATCATAGTGTTTTCACTTGTTTCTTTGTTGTATTAAGCGATTTATAAGCACGCAAGATATGTATCGACTCCCGCATAGAAAAAAAGGAAAAAAACCTCATATATTCAAAAGAACGCACCTATCGCAGAAATATTTACTCAATAACAACAAAACCCTATCTTGTGTGTCTTTATCACATCCAAACTTTAACACGCGCCATAAGGTGAATATTTGAAAGGAAGAAGCGCTAAGATTTAATCCTAATTTTGTGCAATTTCAGGAAGTCAGCCGCACTTATTGACTACAAAACTCGTAACTAATTTAATGATGACAAATTGCAATCTCTCTTCTAAGGGTAGCTTGGAATCTTCTGATGCATTCCATTCCCTCTTCGCTAGCCTACTTTTGGATATAACTATTTTCTCATTACTATAAAGTGCATACAAAACTTTGGCTTTACACCTCAAAGCAAACGTGTCAGTTGAGATGGCCAGCATAGTCTATGCAGACTATGACCACGTTTACAACAAAATACAAATATAAATAAACTTTACCTGTGGAGCTCCGATGTGAGCAAGCGGGCTATGATGAGGCGCCATTATATTTGGACCATTTGCAATATTTACACCGCCATCAAGAGGTATCGATTTAGGGTTGGTAGCGTTTAACGATGTTGGCATAACGCATGAGGGATAAACAAGCGGTACAGCAGGTGGCGGATAAGTGGATTGTAAATTTCCATTTTCCGAAGAGGGCAACGACATTGTAATGTTTGATAAAGATGATCCAGCATGTTCATCGGGGGGTGCAATTACAGATGAATGCATACCAACACCGGGCAGTTGAAAGTTGCATGGTGCGACCGTCATTTGCATTTGTACAAAAGGCCTGGCATGAGTGGTAGGTGGGAGATAATTACCCACCGTCCGATTTTCGCCGTATTGCTCATTATTAATATTAAAAGCGTAAGGACCATACTGACCGTAAAAGGTGGCCTTCTGCGAAGTCAAAAGATAAAACATGTAAATAAATCTTCCACTATCCATAACAAACGTAAACAAATAATAAATGTAAATCGTTGCTATGCCAACAACATGTCCCACCGTCTTCACCCAAATATGAATATTGTAATGTATCAATGGGCTTCTCGGAAGAAGAGATGCATCAAATTTGTTATTATAATTAATAATAAAGTAAGGAGTGATAAAATTAACTTATAAAAAGTACGTACATTAAAATTTTCTACGCCAAATTCCGTAGCCGAATTTGAATCGAAGCCACTCATCGACGATTGATCTTTCGCTGATAGATGTGTTGCCTGCTGCACATGCTTTGGATTCTGAGTTAACTTTGAGACGGCTTCTACGGGAATATTTTGCACACTGCTAGCCGATGAATTTTTACTACTATTACTGTTGCTTTGAGTGCGAAACGAATTATGAAGAGAGGGCGACGACTGTTTTATCATCGATCTATTTGAGGGTGCACTGCCACCGTGCCGGTTTCTGTTATTAAAATAACGTGATATAAAACGACGTTGTTGATTCGCCTTATTGTTGTTATTGTTATATTTATTATTATTGTTTGAATATTGAATGTTATTATTTGAATCGACTTGGTTCGTCTCAATGGCTTGATTAACGTTTTCACGTCGCTTCCAATTTTTCAAATCGCCCGATGTTTTATTCACATGCTCCTTAAGTTCAACTAAATATGCATAAAGACATAAGTTTATCAATTGGACATATGCGGTGGCAAAAAGACAAGACTTACCGTCTGAATTATTACGCTTCAAATATTTGTGATAATAATCGATGCCAAGATTATAGAAGTGGCGCAATGTTGCTACATTTGTCGGTAGATCAGCACCGTCTGCCTTAACAGATCGTTTAGCGTCAAAATGAATCCGATAATTAATTATGGGATGATTGGTAGAATTTTGTTTAACAGCATTGCTTGGACCCGCAGGCGGAGAAACGTTCTGCTGATTTCCTACCGGTTGATTAATTTTTGTTGTTACACTTGTTTCCGAATTTGGAATAAGCGACGGCGCGGAATTGTGATATGAATTGCCTGGCAATAAGAGCTTAGGACCAGTTGGTGGAGGTAAAATTGATGATTGCATACTTAATGTAGGAGACATATACACGTTACCCGCCGAATTGCAAACATAATAGAGTGGACCTGGAGCTCCGTTTACGATAGGAACGAATGATGACGGTTGCATTGGTGCCGGTGGTATGTTGCACTCGTACGCGTAACCAGGATAATCTTCTGGCAACATTCCAGCATATGGTTGCAACGGATGATAAAAACACTGAATGTCAGACATATGTATGGGACCTGGGCCAGCGGCCTGCTGTTCGAATTCGCAATTTGCCAAATTTGAATGGCCAGCGAAAACAAGAGCATTCTCAACAGTTGTCTCATCTTTCGGTTCCATCGGGAAATGACATTGGGACGAATATGCCGGTGCACGATAAGGTTCACTCGTATTTGATGATTTTTTATTACTCTCATCGTTGCGTGAGTGCATGTTTATCGCCAGCGGCATGGTACAGTACTCCATAGCGTGAGTTCGAAAATTTTCCAAATGTGTATATTGATTCAGTTTATATTTCGAATTTCTACATTGCCGTTGCAGCGATTTATCATTTTCGATAGCAAGGCCAGCCTTATAGCAGCATAACTCGCTTTTTAGGTCATTGCAATCAGCGAAATTTTCATCTTTTCCGACTTTAAAATGATAATTGCAATGTCGGGTAAAACGTAGAGAACTGTACTTTTTCATTTGCCTCTGAAAACGATAGGGAAGACTCCAGGGTTTAAATTGATCAGGTGGTAACGGAGACAAAGACTCATAGGGTACAATACGCTTTTCCCCCAATCGCTCTACAAAAACAATACAATAACCCTTATCCGCGGCCATCTCTTGAATGTGGCACGTAAACATGCCCTCTCCCGATTTGCATAACTTAACGTGACATTTAGCCCCAACCTGGAATATTTTTTGTACTAGCTTCGTGCGGTATCGTATTAACTGTTTCAATTACATAGACATAATACACATGCAAACATGCAGAGGACACAATTCCAACGTGCAGTCGAATTTATCATTACGCAGTCACAAACATACAAACACAAAGAAAAATATATTGATCACTGACCAAATAACGAATGCAATTTTTGTCATTAGCTTATTAAGTTTTTCTAACGTTTTTTACCGTATGATTTTAAATTTGATAAAAACATAGATAATGCATAACACAACATAAAATAATTGTGAAGTCTATGTCATAGTACCTTAAAGTTCGAATCACCGTTATACCAATTCTGCAATTTCATCTCCTTTCGCATCTCACTCCACGTATCGAATTCAATATTACGATACATATTCGAATCGAGCGCCTTCGCCACCTTATATGGAAATGGCGTTATTCCTACGAAATATTTAAATTTTCACATATATTCATGCATTCGATTATTTTCATTTAATTTAGTCACCTTCTTCCAACAATTGTCGGACGCACGAAATATCTTTTTTTGTCAAAAATGATTCAGTCGTACGAATCAGCAACGAATTTTCATGTTCGTCGCATTTTGTTTGCTTGATCTGATTTAATAAATCTTGTGAAAATCTTGGGAAATTTGCGTAATGAAAATGACAATATTTATAATTCTCCAGGATGCAATTTGTTTTTTGAGGTAAATCAAATTGAAAAAATCGACCGTCTGTCAGACTCATATTTACACAATACCCGTCGTTAGCGTCTTGCGTTAGACATCCAACATTTTCGAAACCAGTCGCATGCAACATTTGCTCAACAGCAAATGTTACATCGGGTAATTTAAAAAGATCTTTATAAATGATTTCATAACAAATTGCTGTAAATGAAAAAGTAAAGGAAAAGTAAAATTTAATTATATTATTTCTCGCTGCACCACTACTTACACTGACAAATTGCCGCTTCTCGTATATACTCCGCGGTAAATACAGAATCAAAATGCCTTTCTGGACTATAAAAGACTCTGAATACCGCATCGTAATATACGCGATACTCGTTAAAGTGATTACCCAAGTTGAATGGTTCAAATAATATAATATTGCGCCTGAAATTACGTATAAACTCTTTTAAGTATCCAATTCGTATTATATTAAATATAATATCATTCTATAAATATTTATATTATAGTTTATGATCATACTTACTGAAACAAACGTCCTGCTGCTTGCAGCTCCAATAATGTTCCATATGTTTTTAATTTGGACATATCATCTAAATATTCATCGAAATCCCGTTCAACCAAACGTTGGAAAAATTGCCAGTGCTTGCGCATATAAGAAATACATTTCTCCCGTATCGCCATATGATGTAGCTGACTATCATATATTTGTTCCGATATTACTCGAAATAAACAGGATGCATCACGGGCGGTGTGTTTACGATAGTAATTATGCCCCTCTAAAAATTGATCAATAGGATCAGGAGCCTGACGACTACCTGATGAAAACGCGCGTTCCATATTGAATTAATTAAAATTGATCCCGATTTTGCTTTTTTATTTTTTCCTTTATCTCAATATATCTCCGTATACAATCTTTGCGCTTATCTAAAAAAAAAAAAAAATCTGAACTTTACGTCAACGAAACTGTACTAGTCGAATTTTCAAATAGCAATATCAAGGTTTTCTTTTCTTGAATTTAAAACATTAGCAGCCATTTTAAAATTCACTTCTTCATCTCTTTCTCGCTCAAGCTACTTACTGATATGTAAAAAAATTAATTCAAATCGCATTTAATAGTTAAAATTGCTCTTTTTATGTTAGCTTTTAACAACTACACCTCATTTATTTCATATTCTAGTTTTCTTTTCTCTTTTTTTGATAATATTTATGATCATTCTTTTAATTAGTGTACCTTTTCGAATTATGTCTTCTCCTATTCCACAATTTAGGATTAACTACATATGTACATATCATCTATGTACAAAAAACGGTGTATTTAAAACGTGATAACCGATCGCCTTTTTTACAATTACATTCAAAACACAGTATGCAAATAAAATTCTTGCTTTTTTCGTGCTTCTTGTTCAAATCAAATTTGTATGTAAATATCTCACTGTCAAATGAACTCTTTGTCTTTGAACATATTACCGCCGTTCAGTATAAAAAAATTGCATCAGATCATAGTACCGTTAAGTTCAGTGATGTCAACATAATTTGGTAATCCTAAGCGCTCAACATAGGTAAGATACAACTATCGATTATCGATAAATTTACAATTCCATAACTAAGCACTTGCATTATCCGCATTATATAATTTTTTAAAGAAAATTTTATATATTTAGATTTTAGATAGACCAAAGTGAAATAGACAAATTTGAATTTTCAATATATTTAACATTAACGTTAAGCACCTAATTATTATCTATTTGTGAAACGGAAGAGATTATTTCGAAATTGTTTTTTTGTTGTTTTGTAAGAATGTCGTACTTTTAAGTCAAAAACTTCTCTTATAAGAACATTCGAATATCTTATGTTGTGTTCTCAAAGTTCGCCAAAGCCACAAAGAATATTTGTCGTAATAGCTTTGTTTCTAGTCTTCATATAAACTTCGCCTGTTGACAATTCAATACCGCGTATTTGAATCTGAACTGCGGTAGGGTTTTCAGATACAGATGGTCATTTGATCTAAATTACGCGGCAGTCTTTTAAACCATACTTTGTAAAATTATTTACAAAATATATTGGATATAAATGAATACGATAGCTCAATTTCAAAAATAACCATAGTGATGAGTGCACGATTCAATGAAATTGAGAAAACAGAATTGCTTAATTAAATCCAGAAATACTTGGTTTTTTGAGTTTAATTTATTCGCACGCTTTTAATAAATTGTAAAAAAATATTTAAAAAAAATACCGAAAATACAGAGGCATTGAAAATTCATTCGAGTTTCCATTTGAAGGCGAATCTAAGAACACCTTTCTCAGTTAATTATCTATGAAACCGATTAGATGTAGTGTTTTACCATATGATTACATACGTATTAGGTGATAAAAAGAATATTAAACATAATAAGAGAGAACATGCAAAGTGTTGCAATTCTGCTTAGATATTCATCCAAATACAGAGAAATTAAGTAAACATTAGAAAATGGTTCCAAATTGTCCAGAGTTTGGTACACGCTGGTGTAAGAATCTCTAATTTCAAGTTTAATTTTTGAATGCATATACTTCAATACTTTGCTTCTCTTGATCAGAGAAGATAATGTACAAAATAACACCATTCTAATTCCTTCATTGCAAGCATTCTAAAGCGATTAACATATCGTTCTATGTCTTTAATAGTTAGCTTTTTATTGGTCTTCAGAAAGTAGATTTATTAAGTGCTTCCATGGCCATTCTTCAGTTTCTTTGCGAATTGATGTGGCAATTAATTCCACCAAGCCCGAGAAGTATAAAATGATAAATGATGTTGTTTTAGTATATCAATCTCCAGGGTTTTCCATATTTCACTATATTAAAATCAGCTTGTAATACAACAGCTATTTCGAACGATTGTCTCTTAAACAATTATACAAAACACACTAACTAATTATTTTCTAAGTTATCAATTAGCGCGTATATCATATCTAGTTTTTGTCTTTACTTTGCCATTAAACATAAATTACATATTTAGCTCATATTGATGAACAAAGAAAATATTTATTCATAAAACAGATTAGTTAGATTGTTAGTCTGTGCTGGAAGACTATAATCGAATTTTTAGTATGCGTCTTTGACCCGTTTTCAATAGCCACGGTTAAAAAAAGAATTATATGCGATCACTTTATTTGTACATTTTTAAAAATTTCGTTTATTAAATAACGCGACACGACTTATAACGAAGAGAAAATGATCCTGCGCCTCATTACTTATGCATTTAAGACCCAATTGTGAGTGTATCGGTTGCACCAAATTTTAAAATGGTAGCTAATATAAATACAAGTGGTACATTTAGCCTTTAGCAATTTCTGTGAAAAAACTAGGGTCGCATTGTTTTTAACCAAGAATTAAAATTATGTTTTATAAAATTTGACGATGAACTAAAATTACGTAAAACATTGTAAATATATGTTCTATAGTAAAATTTAAGAATTCTTTAACGAATTTAATCAAACAAAAAAAAACTTGTTACAACATATATATATATATATATATATATATATATACTATAATGTAAACAATATCACATTCATTTATGGTTAAATTTATAATTTGTAGTTCCAGTTATTAGAAAATAAAAATCCCCTTGCCAATAAAGCTATTTTTTACCACTCCTACCAAATAAAAATTTCTCCTATCTAATATGTTTGGAAACAAAAACTGCACCAATGACTAAATTGATACATTTTTTGTTCTGAAATTATTTTTTGCGGCAACACTGGTTAATTACTCTTGCAATCAGTGACATTTTAAATGAGGACATTTTTGTTAGGCTTTTATTACTATAAAAAATTTCAGTTGAGATTTGAAGTCAATTTTACTCTGAGAAGTAGAATTGTATTCGCTCCAAATTCAAAAAATCACTCAGGTAAGGAATGTGCAGTAAAGTAAATTTTATTCTGAGAACTACAATTTATTATTCTCAGCAAATTTTGTCTTTTAATTGAAGTAACGTAAATGTAACGATTGAAGTGAGCGGGGTGACCAGATCGTAACTTTATAATTAAAAAATAATTTTTTTCATCTGTTTCAATTAGTAATTATTTTATTATTGTTAATATTGTATTTATATTAGTATTTATTAGAATATTGTAGTTACGCACTAAATATAAATGAATATATAAAATGTGGGCTTGTGCTGTCACCTTAACGGCAAGTATCGCGGGGACATTTTGAACGTTTACAAACACCATCATAAAAAATAATAAAGTAAGCCAAGCCAAAACCACTTTTGTTTCCCAGAAAAATAAATGAAATTATATAAAAAAATGCCGATCATCTTCACCTCCACGGCCACCTCCACCACATAGAAATCTGAAGAAAATATAATTAAAGAAAAAGTATTACGTTAAATAATGAATTGACTTACTCATTTTCGCGTTATGTTATTATTGGCAATAATTATAAACTAATAATATATAATATCCTATAATATTAATAATAATAAGAATGAAAGCATTAAAATTTATTATTTGGATTTTTATCTTATCTTTAATAAATTTAACACTTCGATTGACTAGAAATTTTCAGGTACAAAAAGATGATACAAATTATTATTTTTACATAAATTCCAGTAAGTGAAACGGCCTATTCCTAAACTTAAAATGTAAATTGAGGAGTTTTTATTTTATATTTTAAATAAATAAATAAATGAAAATTATAAAAGGTTTCTTGTTTCTATGAAATGTTAGATGTGTGATGTTACAACACAATACGTGCAAATGGCTCGCTGGGACGTGTAAATGTGAAATTCCCTTTTTCGTGTTTCAATTTTCAATCATTTGCAACAAATAATACAGAGTTGCAATTTTAAGAATGCAGGGTAATATTCAATAATTTTTTTTTATTCTAATTTGCTTTCATATTGGTTTTGTCGAAATTTTATAGAGAATGACGTACAAAATTCCTCATCGCTGATTTTTATGTTTAAAATTTAGTATACATCAGGACATTTTCAATTAATCTGCAACATTTTCAGTTTTGAACTTTTATAGGTTCTTTCAGCTTAATACCAGAAATTTGAAAAAGTCGAATATTTCTTTTATGTATTCTCTGATTGAAAGAAAGCAATATTGTTCATTATGATTTTTACCATTCGACTTCTTATAAAGTAAATGCACTAAACGTACTTAGAAAGTTTTTATTAAAGTGTTGCTTTTTCACTATAACCGAAATGTTTGAATATTCATTATTCTGGCCAATGTTTCTCGAAAAAGTTTTTCCTATATTCAGGTTAGATGGATCACTGACAATATCTACGACTTTTAGTCCACTTGACTCTGCAATATTTATGTCATAGGACTTTTGAAAAGTCACTTCAAAAGTATTCCTTCCTTTAACCGGAAAATTACCCAGAAGAATGTTGAAATTGGTTGTTACGCTTTTGACGACATATACTGTTGACCACTTGGATACTTCCATACAATTTTCCTCTTTATTATAATCTATTTTTGCATCAACGAAGGCATCATCAGCATTTATTATTATTTTCTTTTTATCGACAATTTTTGCTAGTTCATTTGTATAATTTGGATGCATAACACCGTCTGACTGCTTAGGAGTAGTTACTTTCAGTTTTTTTTTAGCTAATAACTTCCGAGAAGACCTTACCAAGTTTACTGGCTGACTCATTATACTTGTAATAATCAGATAATAATTTTTGTGTTAGATTCTCCTTTTTTTATTAGGACCTTCCTTTTCTCTTCTTAAAATTACAATTTTTCTTTCATCTACATTAGTTATAACTGTATTTTCTCCTATTGTGTTTCTCTCTTTAGGGATTTGAATTGAATTTTCTGATAAATTTAAGCCTTACAATGCGTGGTTCCTCTTAAGTTTTTTGATGTTATTGGGATATTATCGTCGTCCTTTTCCATTTCTATTTTTAATGGACTATGGACTATGTCTTTTATAAGCGCTTAGATGGAGGGTTGCGACCGCACCAACGCAGGATCCTACCCGGCGTTATGTATTCTGGAAAAAAATGCTTGTCGCAAATATAACTATTTTTCTTATAACTTGGAATATTTAATAAACTTAACCATATTTGAAGTTTATTTCCAAGAATTTTAAAAAGTGATCTTCGTTCAACAGTTCTTTTCCATTATATTTGCACACTAAACAGTCTCTTGTACGCAACCATATGAATAAATAATAAAAATATAAGAAAAGTAAAAATTATTAGAATGTTCTAATAATAAATAACTATAAAAATTTTTGAAAAGAAAAGAATAAAAAATTTTAATTTTCACTTTTCTCGCTTCTGAAAGAAATAATAAAAATTGCAAAAAGAAAAAAATTTTGAATTTTCATTCTTTTAC